ATGAATTAACATATTATTTTTGATATATTTGAGATTTAGGCACTTATCTACTAATTGGATGTCGCTTAAATGATTTTAAATTATAATATTCTTTCCCCATATTTTCTAATTATATATAAGCTTACTACGATCCAAAACTCAAATTAGTCTTATATTCCATAGTTAAGTCCAATAGATAGGCTTCTTAACCAAAATTCGTTTAAAGCCATTTCTTCTCTCAAGTTAAAGCAATTTAAGAGCTTATACAGCTAACAATGTACTGGCGTCGAAATTTTGTAGTATTCGGTTCCAATTTGCAAATATTAGTTTTTCCTTGGGGACACTCTGAGCGGAATTCATCATTTGCCGTTCGCAGATGCTTTCCCTAACTAGTAGAAGTGCGATGGCCATTTTCCATGTGGGGGAGCCAGAGTAAATGAAAACTTTTGGCCTGCAGCTCTTTCGGCACCGGTATAAAGAGCGGAGCGTTAAATTCTTGTTTCCACCAGCCATGTAGAAAAGTTTTTCTTTTTCAGCATATGGTGGCAGCTCATTGCACGTTGGTTGGATGGTTGTGGGTGTGGGTGTGTGTGTGTGTGTACCCGGTTTTGTGGGTGTGTTAGCCAACTTTTGTGCAAGCAAAAGGAAATGCTTGACATGTCTTGTTCCTTTCGCTGGCTCGCTTATTTTATTTAAAATTTTGTTTTGCCTTTTGTTTGGCCTGTGTTGTTTAGCCTGTGGAATTACCACAAAAAAGAGATGCTGTGCTGTTAAATTTTTCCTTTCCTTTTCCCCAGCATTTTAATTATTTGCTTGATCGTTTTTATTTATTTTTTTCGCTTGCCTTCTGCTTTTGGGAGGCAATTTGAGCCACTGACCCTCAAGGACCTTCAACTTATCTTGTTTATTGCTGTGAATTTCACGGTATTTTTTTTTTTGACTGTCTGGCAATTTGATAAATTGCATAAATATTATCGTCAGATTCACAGGAATATTTAGATGAGCAAAAACAATAAATCGTCCGATTTATTTAACGCAATTAATGCTGATGTTGATTCGGGTTGGCATTTGGTCTGTCTGCTCTTGTTTCCCGTACATTGAACGTGGACTTTTTGACTTATTGACACTTCTCATTGCCCGACATTTGCCTTAATTGCCAAAGGAGACGGCTATGCATTTATATTGTGTGTCTGTATGTCTGTGTATTATTTATTAGATTTCAGACAACATAAATTCGTTCTCTCTTTGTATTTTCAGTTTGTTTTGTTTTAATTACCCGAGCTGAATAGACGAAAATTTCGTTTGACAGTGAATATGTTTATCTAATACAATATATTAATATAATTGGTTTGATGAAGAGGTTAACAGACAACAAAGATTTCTATAAGTATTTGACTTTGTCTAAATACTTTGCATTCCATTGGATTTAAACTTGCGTTGAAATACTTTTGTTGTTTGCCAGCAAAAAATTTGCGTGTGGAATATGTATATTTTTATTTCTTTAAATAATTCATTTGAAAAGGGGTTAAAAATCTCGTTAAAGATTTATTGGCTATCAATCTAATGGGGAAATTGCGAATTTTAATTAATTATATCTAAATTAAATATTTTAAAGAAATTTCATAGAACACTTAAAGAAGGTACCAATAAAATGGTTAGCAAATATTTCAATATTTAACTTAAATAACGTTAAAATTTCAATTTGTAATCTTTCAATTTTTCACTTTATTGTCTTCGTTTAATGTGATTACTGAAACACTTTACTTAATCGACCAACCTGCTCATAATTTTTAATAAATTTCAATTAAATTAAATTTTTTCAATTAATTTCACAATGCGGAAATATTGAGACCCTTGGGCGTCACCGTACCGGCTAGAAAATGTCATTAAACATATTCAATTAAAGACCATCAGCGAAATGTTGTTTCATCAACAGGGAAATTCATTTAATTTCGCAGACAATTGCATTGTAATTGATTTACTCGCATTTGAATATACATTTTGCTTGTCTGTGTGGAATTCTCTTAAAATACAAATAATTTGTCATTTTGCAGTGCCATATATTCGATATGTTTTCCCTTTTGTTGTTGTGTTGTCACTTGTTTTCATCCACCCACCACCCACTTCCTCCCATCGAATGACATTGAAGCTGGAAATCAATTATGCCATTGAATTCATTTCATTTCTCTGCACAACACGATTTTTATCATCAGTTTATGGCCGTTGATTAATTTATACCATTATCCTCGATTATATGAGGAATTTTCCGCTTGGCTGGGATTGCTACCGGAGCAAGAAAAATCAAATATTTGAGACCATCACTGAAATAACTTGGCCAAAATGTCGCACTTGACTTGACCCAGAAAAACATTCTCATTTGCATATTTACATGGCCTATCTGGATGGAATTTATTGTTGCTGTTCCTGTCGAAAACAGCAGCGGCAAATAAAAAGAAAGCGAAAGAAAAAAAAAGAATATAAGAAAATATTTTCCCTTTACGTAAACGACAACGATGCAAGAAATTCCAAACTGACGGAAAAGCAAGCGCAGATATTTCAACAACTTCTGACTGTCAAGGAAAGGGGGCGGCAAGGCGGAGGGGGGCGTGGCCGTCTCCGCTCGTGTTTATCTCTGCCGGGTGCCATCCTCATCGCATTCGCATAGTTAGTTGTTTCGCTAGCTGCTCAATGACATGTGCTGTCTGAGTGCCAAAAAATAGGGGAAAAAAAATAAATAAATAGCAAAGACTGGACGCCTCGCAATGTTATTGTATCTTGCAGATGCGAAATTGAAGGCATCGGGCAAACGGCGAGCGGCGAGTTCAGCGCACTTTGAAAACTGTTCGTTGCCCTGATTTTGATTTTGGATTTGGCTTCACCCAAGCAGATGCCCAAGATATATAATACCAAAAAAGAATCGGAGCTCCTCTCGTTGTGCACGTAGAAAAATATGGTCATGTCTAAATCCAATTTAATATTGGGAAAATATTATACCAATAAGAATTTTATACATTTCAAATACTTTTGTATTTTCTCGTCAAGACTTTAAATATCCCATCAACATTAAAAAAATAAAATAAGAGATTGCCATGTTGCCAAATGCTAAATTTGTGGCCTTTTGTATTTATTTATTTTTTTAATGTTTAGAGTCCATTTGTTAAGTTTTGGTTAACTTCCTAAAATATTAAACCGGTTTATCTAAATCGATTTACATTTGTTGAGCTAATAGAATTTGTTCATTAAGTTGAAACCGAAAGTTTTTTAATTTGACTCATACATTTTATATTAGTACATTTGTATATTAAATGTATCATATTAGGTGAGAGACTTAATTATACTTGTTTTAGTACAACAGTTAAAAATATAAATTGACTTTTGCTATTACACACTACATTTCTTGCGAAGTACTATACCAAAAATATATATTTATTTTTATTTTTTCTTTCTCTGTGAGAGGGGACTGGCAATATAATTGCGTGTAAAGATTAACTTATTTATGCGTGTGAGGAGGTGGAGCTGCACGCGTGCCTCGCGCATTTGTTATGCATCTGTGTAATCGTATCTTAAAGATACAATTGCAGCCAAGCATTGTTATTGTCGGAGCTGGGCGGTGGTGGCTCGTGCCCAACTCCGCACATGGCCCACGGCTGCCTGGGTTTCTGTTGTGGTTACACTTTAATTTACTAGCCATCAAGTGCACATTTATAATTGGAACGATGCCAGCCAAAGGGGAGACCCTAGAGTGGCTTCTATCTGTCTGTATTCGTATCTCGTTGCCCCGTTTCTCACCCACCACTCTTTCTGCCTTCGACTACACTTACTGGGTCTTTCCCTTATTCTTGGCTTGCCGGTCATAACTGTCAGAGACAAAACGCTGCAGCTTAAGAGCAGGCAGGTCCTCATAGTTGCAGTACTGCTGCTGCTCCACAATGCTGATAGATTAGTTCTCTAATAGCATCGCAATCCACATTCAGACAGCACAATAGCAGATGCGGGGGAGGGGCGATGAGTTGGCGGGGAGGTGGCTTTGCAAGTGACCACTTTAAGCCACTTGGCGAACCTTCATTCAGAGTCAGCCAGATGTGAGCCAACCGACTTGGCTTGGCTGGTATGAAAGTTCTCCACAAAAATTCCAATAAAACTGGACTTTATAACTCATTATATTTCGATAATCGGCAATAAAAACATTATAATCGGGTGTATTTATTCAGTTAAAATTTACAAAAAGGGGTTTTCATTCTTTGTTGATATGTTTAACAAGTCTCTTTGTATATTTAAAAAATATTGCAATATAAAAATTTCATTCACATCAAAAGAATAATTACTATAACATCAGAATTGATAAATAGGTAGTACTTAACCATTAAGTTTGTTCAATTAAAAGAAAATTAAAAGTAAAAAAATATATTTTTAAAGTGTTTAATATATAAGTGACATTTCCTAGAACCAATATAGACTGCAAGTCAAAAATTGAAGCAGAAAATCATCTGCAAAATAACTTCCTGTGACAGGAGAAGACATTTCTGTCGGCTTTGACAGCTTTTGGCACATCATTAAAAGCAAGCCATGTAAAATGTGTACATATTTTGATACATTATTGCTAAAAACAACATTTTTAAGCAAATAAAATCTTTATGACACTGCGCGGTAAATATGTGTCTCAACAATGAACACTTCCTCATGCCCCAAAATGGTTCACAGCAACTGGGTTTAAAAATCGTGCAGCCTTGCTTGGGCATAATTAAAAACTGGGTCGAGTGCAGATTTTTGGTTGCCCTCTTCCTTTTTGCGAGTCAGACCAACCAAGGGAGAAGCGCAGCCACAGCTACCAGCAACGTTTTTGCCAGATTTTCCCAAACGTCAGGTCCCAGAGCGATTGCCTTCGCTTCAGCCACCCACTCACTCGCATCGTGGATAATTAATTGATTGCCCATTTGATTGAACGTTTGATGGATGAGTGCTGTCCGAGTGTTTGGCTCAGTTTGCTAACGGATTCCCCATCCTGTCTCCGTCTCTTGCAGTAATTTGCATCGGCTGTTAGTGGAGCAGCCCCGACATCAGACCCAGCCCCAGTTCCAGCCTCGAAAACAGTAGCAGTCGCAGTCACCGTCGCAGTCTCCGCCAGATCCGCATCGACATCCCCGTCCACCTTCACACCCACCTCCACATCCACAGACACAGACATGGTGATAATCAAACCCGATGGAGCGGCGCCCAATGGAGCGGCAGGAGGAGCGGGCGCCACATCAGCGGCACAGGCAGCTGCTCCTGGTGGACTGGATGACGCCGGGAACAGTCTGGCGCATCCTTCGGGGATACCGCAGGATCAAATAGATAATATCTTGAGTGGCATCGCCAACACCGGCAACATCAAAATGAACAATCATCGCAAGAAGTTGCGACAAAGGTGAGTGGCTCTTGAACAATTTAACTTAATATTACTGAAATCAAAGACAGCTAGAACTCATTCAGTCTCAATGGTTTTTAATTCATAAAGTACTAATTACTAGTTAAATTTAAATTATGAAATTAAGCTCAAAGCGAATTTATCGACTGTAAACGACGCAAAACAATTTGATTAACAGAAAAAATATGGATGATTAGCTTTTAGTAACTTAATTATTGGTCTTACTTAGCTCGGCATGAGTAACCAGTTATCGTAAATGTTTTAAAATCAAAAACAGGTGTTATTCACGTTTTTCTGATGAATAACACACTGTTTTTGATTTAAAAACATTTACTAGTTCGCATAATTCATGCATCATGCCAACGTTTTTATCTCGACTTGTTTAGTTATTTCTTATTTAATCAAGAATTTGCAACACAAAGCTTAAAAAGTAAAAGATAAAAGAGTTAAACTGAAAAATTATAGGATAAAAACCAATGTTATTTCTATTATTTTTTTGTAATCCTTGCAGATTTGATATTATTAAGAAACTAGGACAAGGCACCTACGGCAAGGTGCAGTTAGGTATTAATAAGGAAACCGGCCAGGAGGTGGCCATCAAAATCATCAAGAAGTGCAAAATCGAGGCCGAGGCGGATTTAGTGCGCATCCGGCGCGAGGTGCAGATCATGAGCTCAGTGCATCATCCCAACATCATCCACATCTACGAAGGTAACTATTATGATATTTATTTATGGTAATAGCGGATAAATTAAAATCTGTAAATATTTTCAGTATTCGAGAACCGTGATAAAATGGTACTGGTCATGGAGTTCGCCGCTGGCGGCGAGCTCTACGACTACCTGTCCGAGCGGAAGGTTCTCACCGAGGAGGAGGCGCGCCGCATCTTCCGCCAGGTGGCCACCGCCGTCTACTACTGTCACAAGCACAAGATCTGCCATCGCGATCTCAAACTGGAGAACATCCTGCTGGACGAGAAGGGCAATGCCAAGGTAACCACGACTCCCCACTTCTTAGAAAATAAGAAAGAAGCTAAGGGCATTAAAAAATTGGTTCTTTATTGATTTGTTTGTTATTTAATATATATTTTTTTTTAACAGAAAAAAACATTGTCTTAACTGCACACAACGTATATTTGAAAAACAAAGCATTTTTATAACCAAAATTATAAATTTACTCTTTAAGGACAGTTTACAAGACTTTCTCTTCTCAGAAGTCGTAAGACAACATATTGAATAAGTAGTTTAGTAGTTTGACCCTAAAAATACATTTTATTTTGTTTTTACTTAAATGTCTTAAACAGTTTGAAAGTTAACTTTAAAAAGCTTTAAACCAATTTTTTTGGGAAGTCAAAAAGTATATCATATCTTATTTAAAATTATTTTCTTTCTGATATTTAAAATGCAATTATTTCCCTTTTTCAGATTGCCGATTTTGGCCTGTCGAATGTGTTCGACGACCAGCGCTTATTGGGCACCTTCTGTGGCTCCCCACTCTATGCCTCGCCAGAAATCGTGGAGGGAACCCCGTACCAGGGACCCGAGGTGGACTGCTGGTCTCTGGGCGTTCTGCTCTACACGCTGGTCTATGGCTCCATGCCCTTCGATGGGTCCAACTTCAAGCGGCTGGTGAAGCAGATCAGCCAGGGTGACTACTACGAGCCGAGGAAACCTTCGCGGGCCTCCACTCTGATCCGGGACATGCTGACCGTGTGTCCGAGGAAGCGGGCCAGCATCGAGCAGATCTGTTCGCACTGGTGGGTGAACGAGAACGACAATGTGTCCTGCCTGGACCTGGCCGAGGATCTGGCAAATCAGACCCCAGTGCGACTGGATGTCCTGCTCTCACTCACGCCAGCAACCATTACGGCGGATCAGCTGGTGGTTCCTTCGGCGGAGGGGGCAGCTGCTGCCAAGGCGGCGGCGAATGAACGTGTTCCCCGCTCGCATTCGGTGGGCTCGATTCGGGACATGGGACCACCGAACACGGAGGCGGAGCGCCGCATCCTGGACATGGTGGCCGGTGAGTCGATGTCCATCTTCCCGCTTGTCGCTTTTAGATTCGCTTGAGTGGTCCCCAGTGTGTGAGATAGAAGTCCCCGTGCAGCAACCCGCGCAGAGATTCTTGTGTAATAGAATGGGGCGATTTGTGCGGATACAGCACTATAGATTAATGTGTAATCTATGAACAAGTCTAAGCAATTATATTATAGAAGGAATTGCTGATAAAAACCTCAATTTTAATTAGAGAATTTAATAATCCTTGTTTGATCTACGCCCTAAACCAACAGATTGTTCCTTGCCTTAAAGGAACACTTTATTTATGAAAATTGTAAAATTTGAATTTAAATAAGGGCTTACATTATCTTAGACATTGGTTTATCTTTCTAGCTTAATATTGCTCAGCTGAATTCATAGATTACCATCTTCTGCAGACAATAGTCCAGCAAATCGCCCCACCCTATTGTGTATATATATGGAGACTAACTGGCTTCCCAACACACACCGACACCGACCGACCACCGATCTACCCACTAACTGACCCTCTCCTGGAACCGAATCCCAACCACATAACCACACGCCCCATCACTTGCGAATGTACTAAACCTCTTGAAACTAAAGTCATTTAACCAAACTCATTAAACCACGCCACCCTTTCTCTCTCTCTCTCTGTTTCTGTTTTGTGATTATTTTCTAGCTGGAGGAGAAGCAGCCCTGATGCCCTCACCCACCAGGACCATCACTCCCGCCCAGAGTCCGGTGCAGACCAAGAGGAAACTGCAGCCCACTGTTTCCACGGAGAATGCAGCCGGGACCACGGCCAAAAAGAAGGAGAAGCCGGCCAATAGCTCGTTTGTGATCAGCAAGGAGGGGGCGCCACTGACTGAGACACCACCGACCATCATCGAACCCCAAGCCACGCTCATGGAGGCGGAGACGATTGCCAATATACCAGAGGAAGGCCCAGCTCCCAGTTACTCCCAGAAAGACATGCAATTGGTGGGTGATCTCTGCGAGCAGCTGATGGGAGATGGATCCAATAGTACAGCTGTCACCGCGGTAGCACCTCCACCTGCACCCACACCTGTTGCTCGCCAGGCCACCAGGGGCAAACTGGACGCTGTGGTGGAGACGCCCGAGGAGAAGGATGCCACCAAGGTGATCAAGAAGTTTGTGAACAAGCACAAGACCGCCGATCTGGTGAATGCCATCAATGAAAGTGCATCCAAGGCTGCGGCACCTGTGGGCGCAGTGGTTCCTCCTCCCTTCGTTCGCAAGTGCAGCCTGCAGGACGAGTCCACACTAAATAAGTTTAACGCCGAGCGTCGGAAATCGCGCATCCTAGAAACTGCCGAGAAGTTTCAACCCCCGCCGCAAGTGGCTGCGGCAGCTCCGGAAAAACCCAAGAAGCTTAGCATACCTGGCGTCAGTGTGGGGAGTTTCAAGAAGGAGTTCGAAAAGAAGGCCACCAATCCGCCGGCAGCAGAAGGACCCACGCCCGGTGAACTGAGGGCTCAGGAGCAGGTGGCAGCAGCAGCGGCTGCCGCCCAGGAAGCCGAAGCCCTGGGCACACCACCTCCGTCACCGGTGGTGGCCCAATCCCTGGAGGCCAGCGATTCCAAGAACTCGGTGGCCTCCATTTCATTGGACGAGGCCCGGCGCTCCATGGAGAACTCCATTGCCTTGCTGCTGCAGGCCCAAAACGAGTCAAGCAAGGAGGTGGACCAGTTGTGCGCCCAAACGGAGACCATCGGAGTCAGTGAGCCGGCGACTCTGCAGGAGCGCGAGCGTAAGTTGAAGAACGCGCGCGCCATCATCGGAAATGCCATCCAGCCAGGTGAGTGATCTTAGCATGATAATTCCCAGTACCACGACAATAGTGATTATAATATCCGTACCTAAGTTAAGCTAAACCACGCAGCGCTTTCAAGTTGACTACTAGCATTAATTAGCATTAGTATCGGGGATCTGGTTTTGGGCCAAGTACAAGTCAATTTTCAAGTACGTAATTATCATTAACAACATTGGTATACAATAAAGACTAGAATCCTCATGAAATGTGATGCAGATCAAGTTTAAATTATTAAAATAGAATTTGACCAATTATACTTTACTTGAAATTAAATCCATTAATGCGTATTAGAAAAACATTTCTTAAATCCATTTAAAACTTACTTATTGATTGGTCTGCAGTTCTCTTTTTACTCAAAAACTTTTGACTTGAACTCGACCCAAGCGGGTGCCATCGTCTTGTTTTCTATCTTTACTTTGGCATATATATTTAAATCCTTTCCATTTTCAATGTGTATGTGAACGTTTTGCAAGCCGAGTGCTGCATGGATTATATTTGGCTTTTGGAATATAATCTCCTGCTCACACTCACCGAACTCCATCAGAAAAACCAACAAATCGTAGCGAATCCTCCTTTCCAATTTGCAATTTCGCTTGGCCAATCCACAAAGCCAACACAAAAAAAAAAAACCAAATAAGAAAAGGATCTCCTCAAGCAAATAAAACACTCATCATCGACATCATCATCAAACTCACCTGTCTTTTGTCTCTCGCTCTTTCTTGTGCTGACTTCCTCATCATTTCGGTGGATCGATTCGTATGGATTTAAATAATAATAAAAATCGAAGAGGAAATGTGTAGTATAAAGATTTTACTTAAGTATTACTATTCTTAAATCTACAGACTTTAAAGTTACGATTCAAGATCTCAACTTGTATAAGAAACTTAAATAATGCATTGTTTTTTCGACCTTGTAAATGACAATTACGAAATCGATTTTTACTTTTATCGAGATTTAAAACTCTAAATATTTAATCTCAAAAAATTAAAAGTTTTTTTTATATACATATGTAAATATAATTGATTTTCGATTTGAATATTCTTAAGAACAATGTAAAAGGATTATTGTTCAGAATTCTCTATAAATAGCATAGCCAGCATTCTGCGATTTTAATCCAACCGAATGACCCACCCTGTCCCCCATACATGCTCATCATATTCATTGACTCATCATCTTAATTTTAGTGATACGCAGGCCAACACCGTTTTATGGCATCGGCAGCGGCAACGGCTTTGGCAGTGGCATGGTGGGTGGTGCTAGTGGGATGGGTGGTGCGTCTGTTAACAATGCACCCAAGCGAGCGCAGAGTGGCAGCAACTTTATGGTCTATTCGGGAGCAATGTCGCCGGGATCTGTGGCAACATCGCCACCGATTGCAGGACCTCAGACGGCACCTCCAGTGCTAATATCACCCAATGCCTTGGCTGCGGCCAAGCAAACGATACAGCAGAGGATTTTCGGAGGGGGATTGGCCAGTCAAAATAACCAGGCTATAAATCGAAGACCAGCCACCTGGCAGCCGCAGGCTTCCTACAGCACGGCCAGCATTTTCCAGCCGCCTCAGAGTGCGAGTAGTCCCTTCAAGATGCTGCAGCAGCAATATCAGCAGCGTTGTCAGGAGGATCAGAAGCCGAGTGCCCTGTTCACGCCGCCCCCATCGCCGCAATATGCCGCCAGCCACGCCCCCGCCGCCCAAGCCAACAACAGCAGCAACCACTCCGGGAACAGCAGCAACAGCGGCAGTAGCAGCAGCAACAACAGATACAACAGCAGCAACATAGGCAACTGCAACACGATGCCTAATGTCAAATACAATGTCAATTCGCGCACGAGACCATTCAATCATACTCAAGCTCAAGACACACTCAATACCAATGCCAGTGCCAGTGCCACATGTGCCTTGCCTGCGGCTATGTGGCTGAAATGTAAGTCTTGGCAGCGGCTCCGAAAAAAACAAAACCCAACCGAATCCGTATCCATATCCGTATCCGAAACCAAAAACAAAAAAACAAATGTGCTTTGTGCTATGTGTGCCTGCAAAAAACGAGAAAAAAAGTACCAATGCAATCCACTCAATCCGTTTCCGTTTCCTGTTGCGTTCCTCGATTATTTTTTTTTTTCCGCTCCCTTTGCTACATGGACACTGGCTGGCTTCTGGGAAATTCCAAGGTTAATCAGTGTCATAATATCCTGGCTTGGTAGTCCTGGCTTACCTCTACCCATATCACACCCCAAATAAACCAAAATCTTTGGCCTTCATCCTTCTTTCTTTGGACGTTGTTTGTTGCTCTCGATGTGTGGTTGTTGTTCTCGTTCTCGTTGTTGTTGTTCTTGTTGCTGCTGCTGCTGTTGCAGTTGTTGTTGTTGTTCGTGCTCGTTGTTGTTCTGACATTCAAGTAGTAGACTCGGCTTAACCCCCTAAAAAACACTTAGGCGCGCCTTAACCCACAATCTGCACTCCTTTCGGCCTCAATGAAAAGTTAATATTTGTGTTCTCTTACTGTTACTGATGCTTTAATTGCTTACTTGTTCCTCTTGCACCATGTACTTTGTATATTTAATGGGATTAACTTCAAGTAATTATTGTACTCTTTAATCTACAGCCTCGCCGGGTGTCGAAGGACCTCCAACTCCCCCAGGAGCGGTCAAGACATCGACGGCATCGATTACCCTGAAATCGGCGACCCTGCCGCGTCGCAAGATTAACGCCAAGGCGGAGGTTCAGCTGGACATCAAGCCGCGAATCCCGGAACAAGGAGCACCACCCCAGCCGGCTATGCGCTTCAGCACGGAGATGCAGCATCCGGTGGCCGATCTGCGCAGTGCCCCGCCCCGCGAGGGCCCCATCCCCTACAGTCCCATCAAGACGACGCTGCAGGCGAGGGCCACCAGTCTGGAGCCCAAGGAGCACGTCATCACCATCCAGCGTCCGCCCACGCAGCACGCCTACGGACGCACCAGCTCCAACACAACCACGCGGTGAGTACCGGATAGGAACCAAAGGGCTTTTAATTCGAATTTTATTGACTCGATTTTCCTCTGTGCCCGGAAAGAAAATTCGATGTAATTGGTTGAATGTAACTCAAATTGGCCGGTTCGGGTTCACAAGACCCGTGTGACTGCACTTTCAATTTGAGGCTGTTTTAAATTAAAACCATATTAAATGAGATATTTTGCATTATTCATGACCTTTGTTTTACAAACTTTTAATTTTAAACTCTAAACAACACAATTAGAGATTGAATTAATTGGATATGCAGTTTGCCTATAGAAGTGAAGTCAACATGTTAGTTATCAATATTGTAAAAAGTTAATTAAATTCCATAAAGTTTTGATTTCCTGTATAAGCCCATGATTGACTCTGCATGTTTCATGACCTCTTGCAGTTCCGGCTCGCTGTCCCGGCAATCGACAGTGGAATCCGAGTCGGATGCCACCACCACGGCCACGAACATGTCACAGGCCACCATCACGAGCACCTCGCAGCCCATCAAGAAGAGTCCGCGGGAGTTTATCATCCCGATTGCCGTCGAGGGAGGAGGCTTCATCACACCCAGGGAACGCAGCGTGGAGCCATCGGAGTCGAGCCACACCACCAGCAGTCGGTCCACGTTCACCCGCCTGCGTCCATCGCGTCGCATTGGGTAAAGTTTAAAGTTGATGTTTTACATCCTGCCAGTGCAGTTTTCTGAACTGAATTCGATTTCGTATGCAGCTCACTGTTAAGCGAGGCAGGCTTCGATGAGGGCTCGCCATTCCAGAAGATGCGCACCACATCAATAAACCGGGATGGCGTCAGCGGAGGCGCCGAGGACGAGGCCCGCTTCACCCCACACCGACTCAGGTTTGCCCACATCCGTGCTTCCGCTTATCCCTATCCTTGGCCAAGACCCTTGGCTCTTTCCTGCACCCAGAGAAATGTCATAACATTTTAAAGATCACATCTTGAATGAAGACCTCGAGTTTAGCAAGCTAATAAAAGTAGAAAGCTAAACGAAAACTGAGTTTGTAGTTTTTGTTAACATTCTACTTTGCCAATTAATATTTAGTAAGCATAGACAATCAAATTTAATTTATTTTAAAAATGAAGCAAAACTTTATTTAAATTAAGAACAGAAAGTTAAGTAAGAGACATAATCTACCGCAGTAAAATGAAACATATTTTTAATGAATCCCACTTTTCTTTGAGTGCATTGAGTAAGCATAGACAATCAAATTTAATTTATTTTAAAAACGAAACAAAACTTTATGAAAATTAAGAACAGAAACTTAAGTAAGAGACTGAATACGTATCTACAGCAGTAAAATGAAACATATTTTTAATGAATCCCACTTTTCTTTGAGTGCTCGACATGAATACGTAACTAGATTGCTAAATTGAATCTGGTTCGCACAGTTTCCTCCACCCAGCCTCCTTAAATGCCGTTTGATTCGGTTATTTTCATCATCATGCAAATCCCTTCTTCTTTTTTATTCAACACACCCGCAGGAGCTCAAGACCTGTCAAGAAAATTAGTCAAGAGAACGATTCACAAAGCTCCAACGAGGAGGACGATGACGATGATGATGGCTTTGAGATACTCACGGCGGAGAGTCTGTTCTCGACACTGCTGCAGCGGGTAAGACGTCATCCGTGGGACTCAATGTGGTCCATCTCTCACCGGCAGCCAACCGTGCTCCTTTGCTGATTTTCAGGTGCGGAAACTAACGAATCGCCTGAACGTCAACAGTGACCTGTCGGTCGGATTCCCCAGCCATTCTAGTCGCCTGCTCACGGACATTTCGCGGCAGGCCCAAAGTCAGAGTCCATTCTGGAGCCAGGGTAGTCCCTTTGCCAGGTGAGTGTACCCTCGAAAGCGGGGGGAATGAAGTTGGAGTGGATCGGAGTCGACGTTGGAGTGGCAACTAATGTTGATTGCCATCCAGCCGGCTGCCAGTCAGTTAGTCAGCTTATGCAAACGTGTCGCGGCACTGGCTCTAGTTAATAATTTCATTAAATTCCCTTGGAGTTGTCTCCCTGGAAAGTGATTTGATTACGAGCCAGCTTCTGTGAGGCTGAAGCAGCTCTCAGCTTTAACTCCTAGCCTTAACATTGGATGACTGCTTTAACCACCCACCAACATTAACTGCAAATTTGTTGTCCATTTCTTACATGCTGCCCTCCACATGCCTTCCATCTAACAAATCAAAATAAAAATACACCAACCATGCTTAAACTAATCATTCGCAAAGTGTGCTTAGATCTCAAGTTAGTTATACTTATAGCGAAACGGTCGAGAAGAAGAAAGTGTAAGTACCAAGGCTCAAAACAACTTTTCAACCGTTAAGACCTTTCCACCCCCCGTTGAAGTTACAATGTATTTTACAGCCAAATTTAAAAAAAAATGAACACTAGAAATCGATTTTGTTTAATTTTATAACTCACATTAAGGTTCATTATCAGTTTTTTAGAACAAAATTAAGATATATTTGTTTTTTGCCTTCAAAGTACTTCTGGAGTTTTTTAATGTAGTAATGAGTTGCTCTTATAGGAACTTAAAATCATTATAAATAAAATAAACCTTTTTTTTGGATATAAGTCAAAAATTTAAGGAAGTACTTTATTTTTTAATCGCGGTAAAGGACTTATAACCAAAATGATTTGGTAATTTTGGTAACGACTTTTACAGGGTACGTTAAATTAAATTTGTAATGATGAATTTGGAAAGTAAACAGTACATTCCCATATTAAATTTGGCTTAAACCGCACTGTACGCCGCTTTCAAGCCAACCAAACCGAACTTCCGGCTTGCACAATTAAATCGCCATCCATCCATCCATCCATTTATCCGTTTATCCCGCCTAATACCTGGCTGTCTCTCACCTGCTCCTGCTTCCAGGTGCGGGGAGCGCTGGCTGAGGGCCTTGGACATTATGGAGCGGCTACGCCGGTGGTTGGGCCACGCCCCCTGGCCGCCCACCAACTGCTGCCTGTAAGTTGGCAACGTGTAGCATGTGTAATGTGCAAAGTCCAAAGTCCAAGTCCCTCGGCTGAACGTTCGATTCGCAAGGAAATCGCCAATGCACCGTTCTCACCAGAGTCCACCCGTTTATCTGTCTAATATCCTTCACAGCCACCTGAACAGCAGCAATAGCAGCGGACTGGGAGCTCCTTGGCGGCACAGCATGTCCCGGGAATTGGGCAACGACATGGAATCGATGTTCTCGCGCACGGGGGCCACGCTGCCAAGAGGTGAATATCACAGAATAAAGAGTAAATACCTAGATCAGTAGTGAGACACGCCCATCAGAGCCGGAAATGTGCATCTGATTCTGATGCCGCGCTGATGATGATGAAGCCACACAGACAAAACAAATGTAGAACTAAAGAAAAGCGCTGCAACGTATGCTACGTAAATAAGAATAATTTCAATTTCAATATGCCTATATCGTATACTTAAACCTGTTTTATTTCAAGTAGTTTTTGATGTCTGCTAAAAAAAAAAAAAACACCGATCAAGTGAACTACCTTGTCTACTTAGTCTAAACCTTATATTGTCCCACAAAACCAGATAAAACAATAGCCAAACAAACACAACAATTAATCATAAGTGTCTACTGTAATTATCAAGTGAAAATACCAATTAATACTTAAACAATGACAAACCATTATTTCCGTTGAAGACTATATTTATTTGATTTCCTGTTTTGTGTACGCGCACAGTTCTTAATAGCATAATTCAATCTCTATCAATATTCACTCTATATCTATCTATCTCTATCCAATGAACTATCTGTAACTATCTATATCTAAATGCTGTCTGTCCTAGAGCACCACTCTTTTGTTATTAACCCAAAATGCCGCTGACGCTTACAAACCAGAATCTATTTATTTATTGCTCAACAGAATAAAAAAAAACTACCCCACTTCCTACTTTAATTTATGCACTATTAATTTATTATTTACCCCATATGATTTGCCTTTCAAATTTTTGTTCTGCACTCATGCAATGATGATGAAAATAAAGTTACTAAGCTAAGCAAAGCAATGAAGAAAAAGCCAAGAATTTGTTAAGTCAATAAAAGTGTAATCAAATCGTATTCAAAGTTCTGTATACCAGCGCAGTTATATAGACACGCTCAAAGAATATAATATTCATGTATGGCAAACCCGAATCAGGCTTAACCCTTGACCTAAATGTTATTCGAAATGAGATGATGAAAATGTTGATGGCGACCCGAGGAGATTGTACTTAATGTTAACAGTGAAATAAACTAAAGCGAATGAAACCAACACCTAATCAATTTACTACATTTTGCAGTGAGAGCAACAACATAGATGACAATAAAAAAAAACAATCTAAACGAAAGAAGACAAAACCTTTTGTTATTTTATTTATGGTGACCACTGAGATTTTGTTTTCGCAACCAAAAGAATATTTCGATATATACATTTTCTTTGGTAAATTAATTGTTGTACAGTTTTTATGCAAATGGCCCCGCTACCTTAAATTTGTTTTAGTTTTACCAACTCGTTTGAATACATATATATATTAAAGTATATATCCCTCACCAGCAACAAACAAACAAACTACAAGTTTTCTAATGCGCTAACCCAAAAACCAAAGACAAAGTTTCAAGTTGAGTTTCCCAGTTCTTCTTTTTTGATGTTTTTTATTAGTTACGAACAAAATTAAACCCTGAAAATGCAAAAAAGCGAATAATAAGTAAACGAAATTAAACCAAAATTTGTGTTGTACAAGAAAATTTATTTGTTTAACACCACTAAGCTCACACGCACACCCACACATGCAAATACAATTACATGCGCACCAACCAACCAACACACCCAAAGCTTCTCAATGTAGTTTACTCTGTCCACGCTGTTAAAAACCGCCAACAAACCAGCTAAAAACCAAACAACCAACAACTAACTTGGCACTAAAAAAATGTGTGTTTCCAAAACAATTAAAAAAAAAACTTACAATAATATTTATAAAACCAAAAACAAATTTCTGAGTTCTGGGCTTTTTTTGGATAAATCTTTAACGGAGTCAATTATAATATTAAACCCAACGGCAATCTCTTTTTGATGTGAAACAGAGTTAATGGAGCACGACCACCAAGAAAAAGTTGAAGAAAAAAATGTCCAAAACTTTGAATACGATAATGTACAGAACTGAAACTCTCTCAGCTACTAATCGATCTTGTTTACGTTCATCATCATTCCATACCGTAGAACCCTAACCACGAAAATCATGATCAAAAACCATATCTCAAAACCGTAGTCGTAGAGCGTAGAGCGTTTATCGAGTGATATGCAATTCACCAACCGATTTGATGTATTTACGAATAATTATTTTATTATTGGCCGTTTACACACGTTTCGTACTTACTTTCGTTTACAGTTGGTTTAACTACTTTAACTACTACCACGCCCACAAAGCATGTTATAACCATTAACCAGAGTCCGTTCAATACCGCCACCAAACAACCGCATCCGGGCCATTTTGCCACGGCCACGACCACGGCCAAAACGGTGGCCGTAGCCGTAGCCGGCGTTCCGAAGCAGCTAACAATAACCACCACGACCACCACCAACAGTAGCAGCAGTAACAACGCCAACGGCAGGAGCCGACCACCAGTCATCCCGGCCATAATAACCGCACCCCAGCTGGCCAAAACCACCAGCAGCAGCACCACCACCACCACCACCGCAACCAGCAGCCCAAGGAAGCCATAAAGCGACAGTGGGTGGTTGTGTGGGTGGTGCGGTGCTGCTTTTAGACTGCCCAGAAACAAGTTCCATTTTTTATGTTGCCAAAATTCGATTTGCATATTTGTTTATTGTTTAACTGAATCGTTTAAATTTTTGTTTTCGACATTTCCAACGAAGCAATTCGTTTAGTGCAAATTAATTGAAAAACTTTTTAATTACATCCCAGCCCAGCAGCTGGAATTCACTTTTTATATTTATAATTATATATTTTTAAATTGAATCGAAGACCATTTAATTTTAATTTGAGGCAACAGCAACACATTCCCCAGTACAATAAATATTGTATTATTGTGATTTTGATTTTAAAATTAATTTTAAACGTCAGCGTGTTACTCACACTCAAGTCATTTTAACTCAAATCCATTCGCCTCAATCAAGCGATTATTCCTCGAGCGCAAAAGCTTCAAGCATACCATCTAAGCGATACTTTTACTTAATACCTAATACTAAAAACGAAAAAACTGAATACCCAAAACTGATAACCGAGAACTAAACATTTAATCTGAGAAACCATTAAATATGAAACTATTTTTATACGTGCACACAAAGTGAAATAAACCATGAAATCCAAATTGTTCAGCATTTGTTACTGCCCGTATTCGTTTTCTGCACGTCAGCTAATCCCAGTTGTTTTTTGATTTTGTTAACCTTTGTTGGATACTCGTAATCCTCCATCCTGCAAGTTTGTTAAGTGTTCGAGTTGAAGCTTCCCCGCTTTGATTGCGTCTCTGGAAAGTAATTCTTTTGGTTGCCAAAACGAAAACGAGAAAAGTTTTCAGATCTCTGGGGCTGAAGAAGTGGGGCAGTCAATCAATCAATCATTGTAATTGCCATGTAAGTAACCTTGAATATTTGAAATATACCAGTTCATTTGGCAAGTAAGTGGAATACTTTTTCAATCATCTAGACATTTGTTTGCCATCTTCAAGATGCGGTCATATATTTATAGAATCTTTGGCATTTCAAACTATTCCCAGGTCATCATCAAGGCAAAAATAAGCCCAATTCAGCTCCTGCGAATGCGGAAAAGGGTTCCACAACGGGATCTGCAACGACTGATGTAAACAGAGAGGAGCCCTTGGACCTGGCCGATCTGGATCTTTCGAGGCTGCGACTCAGCAAGAAGGATTTGGAGACCTTGTCGAGCATAACGCCTGGATTACCCAAGTGTTTCCAGGAGCAGCTGCTGGCCAAGTTGCCTCCCACTCAGGCGCGCAAGTTATCCCGCACGCTGAGCGTTCAGACCAGTGCACCCAGTAGCTCCTCCACTCCCAAGGTTTACAAACGCAGCCAGAGCGGCGGCAGGGGCTACCAGCCGGAGCAACAGCCCCAGGAGGAGTTGCTGGAGTTCAAGCCCAAGCCAATGACAGATGCCCCCAAGACGACATCGGCAAGCACAGCCATTTACCGGCGAAGTCTAAGCCGGAGTCAGGCGCCGACTCAAACTTCTGGTCCGGATGCTGAGAGCCGGACAGCCCAGACAAGCAAGAGTCGCAGCAGTAGTGTCTGCCGAGATGACTATGGCAAATCCTCCCTCTGCAGCAGCACGTATACCAGCGACATCAGCGAGAAGTACAAGTACTACTCCCCCTATCTGAGCAAGTCCAGCAATGTGAGTCCATCGATAGCCTCGAAGGAGGCGGCGGAGAAGCGTTACAGTGGTGGCCTGGGCCGTCCACCGAGTGGTTGTCTTTCGCCTCCACCGCAATTGCCACAAGTTGCCGCCACAGAAGGCACCAGCTCCCTGCGGATTGGACGCTCGTCGCAGCGCCGAATCTCACGGTTTCTGCGCCCCGACTTTTTCGATGATCCCAGAGATCGTGAGACCCAAAGCATGCTGAGGGAAATACGTGAGAAATCCATCGATCGGCAGGATCAGGATCAGGAGCTGACGCAGGACTTGAGACGTCGCAAGCACAGTTTACCCAATGTGGAGCAAGCGGAGCCACCTCAAGATGCAGCACCTATCAGATCCTCTATGCGGCATTCACGCAAGAAGAGCATGGAGTTGTTTACGGATGCCGAATCGAATGGACAAGTTCAGGAGCCCATCAAGACATCAGCCAGACAAAGAAGTGTTTCCAGAGCTCGGGAATTGGAAGCAGAACTAGACAAACATGAACTGGCGGACAAGATACTCCAGGAACTGCAGCTCCTGTCTGCTGTAAGAACCCAGCACGAACAGGACCAGCAATCTGAGAAAATAGAAGAGACCTCCACCATTAAAAAGGTGAAAAAATTGAAACCTAAGGACAGCTCAGCAAATGAGCCAGAGACAACGAAAATTTCTGCTACGACTACCGCAACTACAACCACTTTGGTGAGAAAAGTCAAGAAGGTGACCAAGAAAACGGATGAAGCCCCCAAGACAACTGCTTCAGAAAATGCTGACCTGGCTAGCTCTGCTCCAAAGGAAACCAAATTAAAGAGACCCAAATCCTACCCAATGAAAGATGTCGGGTTGAGTCTGAAATCCTCAACAGATCTCCCAGAACCGACTGCATCACTCCTGCCCAGCAAACTACCCAGTAAGCTGCCCTCAGGACTAGCAAATGAATCCTCAGGAGAAGCAGCTCCTCGAGAGAGTCGCCTGATGAGACCCAAAAGCTATCCGGCCACCAAGTTGGCCACACCCAAAGAGCTTCGCAAAGTTACGCGTAGTGGAGTGGCCATACCCACAATAACAGAAGCTATTCCGGCACCTTCGGCAATAGCTACACCCACCAGTTCCAAATCCACTTCGGAGGAGAAATCTCTTTCGGCCACGCCAACAGGAACTATGTCCGCTGTGACGGATGCCAAAGATACCGGCTCCTCCTCCAGCGATTCGCGACCCACGACCATCAAGAAGATCATCAAGGTGACGAAGAAATCCAAGCTAATGCCACCCACACCAGTGACGCCCACCACTCCAACCACAACTGCAACCAACACGGCAAACACCACACCCGTAGATAGCTCCAAAGAGTCCAGTCCGGTGATCAAGGCCAAGGAGAAGTCACCGGAGAAGAAACCCAGCAAGGGCTTGCTTTACGCTTTGGGGCAGAAGTTTGAGAAACTGAGGGATTCAGCCATGAGCAAGGAGAAGAAAACTGGCTCAACTGGAGCAGCCGCTTCTCTGGCCTGCACCCAAAAACAGGGATCGCCCGAAGAACGCAGCTCTCCAGAGAAATACAAGAAGAAGGTACTGGAAATAGAGAAATCTCTGGAAGTTGGAGCCACAGAGGACAAACGGGTGGACAAGCGATCCCGCTTTGACACCATGCTGCGCTCCTTGAGGGAGAGATCCGTACCCAGGTCACAACCCAATGGGCGTGTTAGTCCAAAGCGAGCGGCCAGTGTGGAGGAACTGCATGCAGGATCCCAAGAAGGCCAGGGAAAATCAGGTGGAGCAGTGAACAAAATGTTCGGCGGTTTTTTGCGTCGCTTTGACAGGGAAAGCAGTGAGCAACGGCGGGTGAGGAGCACCCGATCCACCAGCAACATTGAGAGACAGGTGCGTGAGGAGAAGGATCGCCAACTGGATGCCTCTCTGCCAACATCACCTATCTACCAGAATGTGGTGAAGGCCACGAAACAGCAGGCTGCTCCAACGCCAGCCACCGAAGAGAACTGCAACTGCGAAACAGCCTGTCCAGATTGCCGGCAAAACAAAGGACAGGACCTGGCCACCACCACCAATACCCCAGCAAGTACATCCTCAGCAAGCAGCAAGGAGAAACGGAAGGGTCTCATGCTGGATCTGGCCAGCGCCAATGGTTCTAGCAGAGGAGCACCCAGCTCGGTGACCACCGCCACCACAACCACTTCCAGTGGGAGCAGATATCGGGGATCCAAAACCAATCCGGCCTTGATAAATGGAAATGGAATGGGTCTCTACTCGAATCTGCCTCCCTATCCCGGAGCCATAAAGAGTGCCAGCTCCAACAACAGCTCCAGCCAGCAGTCCATGGAGAATGCCACCAACAATAACTCGACCATCACGAATAACAATTGCAGCTCGCAAACCTCTGGCTACAGAACCTCATCGGCTCACGAGATCAACCGGAATAATCCGCTACTGACACCCTCCTTCGAGAACATTGCCAACTACTCCTCGGATTCGCGCAGCTACCAGGATGACTGCGCCTCCACATCGACGTTCCTCTCGCCCACCGAAGAGCCGGAGCTGTACTTTGACAATTGGTCCATCTGCTCCGAGGACAACTACATGCTGCATGCTACGCCCTCGCCCACGGTGTCCCGTTTGTCCAGAGCTTCGTTGTCTTCGCCCACCCGCTGCTCCGAGAGCTCTGATCCCAACGAGAGCGTGATCGACAGGATCAAGCGACGCAGCTTCTACAGCCGCTTCAATGAGCAAAAGAAGCCACGACGCACCAGCAGCATAGTGGGTCCTTCGGCGGTCAGGGATTACTATCGGGAGCAGCAGGCGGCGGTTAAGGCGCGCTCCAGTCACAAGCTGCATGCGCCGGACTTGGACCCACCGCCAAGAGCTCATTCGCCGGACATAGCCCAGCAGTTCTTCAGGCCCCTGAAACTGAGTCCCGTGGGAACGGAACTCAAGCCTCCGGTCTACCGCTCTCCCCTGGATTACTCCGCATCTTCGGCGGGAGCCACCAGCAAGCCGAGAAAGAGCTTGAATGATATAAGGAATACCTCGCCCTCGTTCCTCAGCAAACGATACGAGACCTCCGATTACAGTTCGGTGCCCATGCGGTACAAGAGCTCCTCCAGCTCGAGTCCGAGTAATGGTGCCATTGCCAGTGGTTACTACAACACGTACAATCCGAAGCGCCGGTCATCGTATACGCTTAATGGTAGTCTGCCCACAGCGACCAGCGGGAGCAGTGCAGCGGGGAGCAGCCACCTGGATGGCTATGCCACCCTTGGTAGGAGATCTATTCGGCCCTATGACCATCGAACGATGTCACTGCTTGAGCCACCCACCTCGAGCAGTAGCCGGATCGGTGAGGGTTCTTCCTATCAGAGGAGGGAGACCAGGACCCCTGTCAGAGATTACACCTCCAGCATATCTCGGTGAGTGTGGATGCCTCGCGACAGGAATAAAATTAATTGGCTTATACTTTACAGATCCGGATCGCGTTATCGCACTTCATCGGCCACGCGCAGTCCGACAAACATTTGATGTACCACACCGCAGAATGGCTTCTGCATCTTCTGCTACTACTCCAAACGGAAGAAGGCGAGTTCCGGAAACGGACACGGCGTAGGGCACGGACATGGCCAGGCCATGGGCACGCCGCCCAACACCACCGCCTCCTCGTCATCCTCGCGTGCCAGCAGTGGCGGCGCCAAGAAGCTACAGCCTGCCCCCATCCCAAACCAGCAGTCTGGCCACCATCAAAACGAGCAGCACAAGTTCTAGACTGGCCCCGTGGCTACATTCGATCCGATCACAGATCCCAGATCCCCAATATCCAATACCCAATACCCAATACCTAATCCCACTTAGGCTTAGACATTTTTGATAATTTTTTTATGGAACTTAGCCAAAGTTATACTCTAGTGCAGACTTTTGGACGCTGCCCATAGTCGTAGGTTTGTTGTAGTTCGGATATAGCGGAGTTTCAGCCATAGATCGTGACTCAATAATGCACATATGCATATACGATTTTCAAATGATTGTGCCTTGGTTCCTTCGGCGATTTTAGATTTAGCCAATAGACATAAAACGTTGTTTTTAAACTGTAAGTGTGTAAGCGGAAACGGAAACAGGAAGAAAGGGAGACAGGCGGAACGGAAGTAAAGGAGAGACGTGTTTCACAATATATGTATATGTATTTTCTATGCTATTTTTGTGGGGATACCTCGCACCGAAAATGCGTTAAAATTTCTACGAAATAATTTTAACAACAATTTTTTGCATTATACAGAACTGATGGATTGTTTTCGAGATTTGAGTAGAATTTAATAGGGACAACTTTCGTTTGCTAGGACTATTGATGTTATTGCAAAATAATAGAAAATATGCAAATTGTGAGCGAAACGGGAAAGTGTTAGGTAAACGTAGCAACAAACAATAAGCGAATTTAAAAAGAAAATTAACAAAACACGGAACAAAAAAAAATAGATCTAGAGTTTTGGGTAGAATCCGAATTCGATGTTCAAATTATAATTGGAGCGTGAGCACGAAAAGCGATTTCTATTAATAAACAAAATCCGAATCACCAATTGAATTGTTCTTATTTGCATGTGATCCCACGGCTGTAATTTTAGTAATCCGATTAATGACCCCCCGCGATCAACTCTGCTTCTTGAGCTTGTAGGTGGGCATGAAGGGAATGTAGTACGTCCACTTCCAGCGCCGAATGGCATCCATGCCAAATGGAAAATCATAGTCGGTGGCGGTGCCATCGTTGATATTATCATCGCCCAGGGGCATCTCATTTGCCCAATCGATCAGGCCTCGCTCCGCCGGAGTTCCTGGTATCACATTGTCCAGCAGGCATCCCAGAAATCCTCCAACCAGAATTGTTGTGCCCAAAAGCACCGATAATGTGGAGTCCACGGTCGTGTTTCCAGTGTCAATCGCTCCAGGATTCTTTTGCATCCAGCGACACAGCACCATCGGGAAAAATATTGATAGTCCCAGGATATAAAGATTTCTCGCGGATCGCAGGTCCACGTACTGCAGCGTGGATAGGCCAAAGGCTATAATCATGCCGAACATCACGCAGAAGATCCCGCCCACCACCGAGTCGGGAATAAGGATGAAGATGGCTCCAAACTTACCAATCACGCCCTGGAGGACCATGATTAATGCGGCCCACTGGATAACCCGACGCGATCCAATCTGGAATAGATAAATAGTGCTGTCAGCTGACTTATAAGTTTTCCCTTCCGTTATCTCACCTTGGTCACCCCGATGGCGCCAACGTTCTCCCCGAAAGTATTGGTTCCGTTGCCAGCTCCCCAGAGTCCGGCGAGTACAGTGCCCAATCCCTCGGTGCCGATACCACGATTGATAGCATGGAGCGGCGGCGAGTGAGCGCCGGACATCTGCGACACCGTGGGATAATAACTCAGTGACTCCACCGTGCAGGCTAGTACGCCGGCCAGCATGCCCAAAACGCCGGACAGCGTCACCGAGGGCCATCCAAATTGTCCCGGGTACGGCACATAGAACCACTTCGCACTGGTCAGCACATTCAGACGCACATCCGTGCGCGAAGGATGTGACGGAGGAAAGACATCAGTGGCCGTCAGAATGCCGCACAGGCCCCACATAATCATGATGGTCAGCAGGACGGGAAAGAGCCGGAACAACTGGAACTGGCGCACCTCCAATCCGTGACCCTTGCGGTAGGCCAAAATTGGCACCGATACATTCGACATTATTTGCGAGAAGAGCGTAAGCATGCCAGTGGTTCTGTTTTGGGATTTGAACGAATAAATCAGATATTTTTAATTAAGTGTGGTCCATATATAGTGGTAAATTTAAAACGTATAAATTATGTTTCAAGACATATCCATAAATCAAACTATTGGTGAAATGAGAAAAAATGTAACTACAATCATTTATTATTTTTCAAGTGTTATAGTTTTTTGTTACGGAAGCTTTAGTCATTGGCAATTATAAAATCATAAACTGGGAACACAACGTTTGAATTCTACTTAATAATAATATTTAATAACTTAGTGACCTATGACTAGAGCTGCATTTGATCAGTAATACTCACCCCACGGCAATTCCCCAGTGCTTGGAAGCCGTATCAGCCGCGTGCTCGAAAAGCGTAAGTCCCACCAACGATACAGTGGGCACAATGGTCAACGGTGTTACATACTTGAGGATCTTTCCCACCAGACCTGTGTAGCCCAGGACGACTTGCACCATGGCGGACACGGCAATGGCCCCGGACAACTCCCGCATACGCACTTGCCACAGTTCCTGCCGATCCGCTTCGTTCATGGCATCCATCTCCGCCTGCTCCGGACACTTCCACTGCGGCAGAGCCAAGATGGCTAAGGTGGGAACCAAAAAGGAGATGGTTCCACCCTGGACAATGGGCAGTCGGACGCCCCACGTCGCCTGGAAGTAGGTAACGATGCCCGTGACAAAGATCATGGTGGAGATGATGATGCCCCGATTGGCGTCCTCATCGGACATGCACAGCGCCGGCGTCAGGATGAAGGGTATGGAAACGATGGCTCCAATCATGGTCAGGTAGTGCTGGAATGCGAGGAAGATGCTCAGGTACCATGGGGGATTGTCGTTGATGGCGTAAAGTAATTGCGGCTTTGGCTTCTCATTATTCGAAGGCGTGTTTGCGGCTTGAGTGTGGGACTTGGACGCATCAGGCTGGTGAATAATAAAAATGCAAAATAAAAATGTTTTTTATTAAACACTGATCGAAAAAATTTTATAAATTGTATTTGGCTTCTTTGTTTCTATCTACAATAGATTTATTAAATAAATAAATCGCAATTTGTAAACGAATCTGCTTTCCAAAATAGTTTCATTTTAGTTGTAAGCCATTAATAATCCTTGGATTTGTGAAGATCTAATAGGCAAATCTATACTTTAGAGAAAAATCAACATAAATATTTTTGATCAGTGTAATTATATTTTATTAATGCAAATCCCTATTTGTTTATGTTAATGAGTGGTTTTCAGTATCGGCATAAAGATATTCCCATTTTTTATTGTATAATTGCAGAGTGCGGAAAATTCATTGTTTTATTTATGAGAATTGCAATTAAAGTTTTGAATTTATTTACATAACTATATGGCTTAAAGCGTCCCATGGCGGTAGGAATTTAATCTTAGGCAAAGTTTGAGTGACGGCTCTGGTCGCCAATCGTGATTAATTGAGCGTGATTATCAGTGCGGCGATCGTTCGACGCCGGCTCTCAGCTTGTTTAGATCAGTAATTTTAATCAGACCATAAATTAATATCTGATGAGCGGTGCTAGTTAATAAATCAGTGTGTTGTCGATTTCAACATTGTTGACTGAAAGGCTTGCGCCGCATAAATATAACAAATTACATTTTGATGATTTTAGACCGATACTTACTCACTCCCCTAAATCGTTTAAAAAATATTCGTGAATGAATGAACTGTTAATTGCTGGGTGTTATCTCCCCGGTTTTATCCCTTCAAAACGCCATGCAATGTCAGTGGCAAATAGGCAGCAATTAAGCGAAAAATGCACTTGAGTGAAGAAATGCTTACAAAACAAAGCAGATAAAAATCAAAATAGGAACAGCATCAATCGGTAGCAATTATGCAGCGTCCAATGCATTTCTCTTACATAAACCCACGCGTTTACCAGAAATTGTTATGTCAGTTAAGCATAGACTTACGCCGTCCTCGACGGTGACATTATTCAGCTCCATGATCATATGTGCTCAGACTTTATATCCGCCATAAACTAATTGGGCATAACGCACGGACAACACTCCCGAAGAACTCCGCTGAACGTCCGATCGCGACAAAGTCCCGAGACTCAATAGCAAGATCTGTCAGCCACTTGTCGAAATTCGCTCGATCGAGGAAAAAGTTTAATCGTAGAGCTCTTCGAGAGCAAGGCCTTAAATTCAAGAGCATTTGAGAGGAAAATATTGATTGCTGTTCACTCTCTAGTATGGATCTCAAAATAAAAAGGGAATAGTAAAAGTTAAATAACGAAATATTCATAGGTACAGTATCTGTTTAATTATATTTTTTCTTGAATATTTAAATGTGTAACGTAAGCATATATGAACTAGTTTGATTTCTAAAAAAATTTATTTTTAATCAATGTTGAGCTGAATACTAAAGAAAAAAATAGAAACAACTTATTTTGGCAGCCGAAAGCATCAGCAAGAAGTTAAAATTTATGAAATTATATGAACTCTATAAAAGTGACAAGCCAAGCATTATAAAGATATTGTTCCATATACATACTTACCAAATGTGATAAAAGTTTATATTATCTTTCGTTTTCGTTAGGCCATGAGCATGTTTACTATCAATTTTTAGACTAAACATTTGAAAGAAGAACTGCATACTTTTGGGGGAAACAAAATGTTTTTCGCGTTTTATTTCAATTGGAAAAGTAACTGTTCACATTTTGCTGTAAATATTTAACTAAATCACTACGTACATACATAGTTTAATACGAATTAATTTAGTTTTGGTGGTTTTTGTTGTTGTTACTGTTTTATAGTGGTGATATTTTCAATGACTTGCATGTCCGTTCTATTCTATACACACATGGGTTATTCTTGTAGAAATCGATAGATCCATTTATATAAGCATTTATAAAAAGTTCAATACAATAATCATACATACTTGTATAGAGTGGGATATTCATTTTCTTTGAATGGAAAGTTTCTGACAATGCTTATTGGGGGAGTGTGTCTTAATCTGCGCGAAGATCATTAGCGTTATTTGTTTAACATTTATCATTACGGTTCCATTAAGTAAAGCACACCAAGTTTTGTTGCAGTCTCTCTCTTACAAAAATTAAAACAAGTAAAGGCGTAAAACAAAACTCATAGCATATAAATAAAAATGTCTAGGGCAGCAAAGATGCGGGAGGCCGGGGGCATTCAGCTTCTGGGCATCACATCAAATTCATCTCCAACAACGTTGGGCAGCTAGGTATTCACGGGGTGTCCTCTTCTTCCTCTTTCTCTTGCCACACACTGCTCTCGTTCTCCGTATCACTCAGAATTTCTATGACATCTTCCTCGCCTGTCAGCAGACCCTCCTCCTGGGGAAAGCCCTTAAAGCCGTCATCCACATCGCCATCGCCTTCGGCATCGCCATCAGCCTCGCAATCATCCGCATTCTCGCTAAGCAAGTTCATGTCCGGCACTATCGTATCATCCGTTCCCACCTGAGCGTTGTTGGTGGCTGCAGCTGCAGGAGCCGCGGACACATCCATCGGGGGTAACGTGGCCACCGGGTTGAAGGGCGCATCCAAGTCCTCAAGGCCACGGGGCGGCTTTAGCTTGGACAGCTCCTCCCGCAGGTGGCGATAATGCCGGCGCAGAACCATTGAGTTAAAGGAGATAGTGCGGCTGGCCCGCTCGGTGTATTGCGGCTTGCTCAGCTCCTCGATCCATCCTTCGATCTGGGCGCAGATCTCCTCACGCTTTAGCCAAAAGTGCTTGTGTATGACCTGAAATTTGGGTGATTTGTTTAAAGAAATGCGTCTTAAAGTCTTAAAGGTATGACACCATTCTAGGGCGTAATATTTTACACAATATTTTAAATCAGTCAAAAAAGTATCACTAAATTCTGATTCGGTATCATTTTGGAAAGTTTCCACCATTAATTTAAACTTACATCTTTGAAGCAGTGACTTGGGCTGCGTATCTGCTCAAGCATTGCCCAGCGTACGCAGGCCTGATAAATATTGCTGTTGTACTCCCGCGATGAATTGGTACCACTCGGAGTGCCACGACTCCTTTCAAAGCCCGGCTCATTGAAATAGGGCTCGGGGACGAGGATCAGCGACTGAATAGAGACGAGCACCTGCAGGAAGCTTGAGGTCTGCGCATTCCACTTCTCCTCGGGCCGGCCGTGCCACGTGTTCAGGACCGACAGGCACACCTTGCCGTCATTGTAGAGGTTGGGGTTAAAACGCACCGAATGGCGGCCGGTGGTCTCTAGGTTTATGAGCATGGGCTGGTTGGGGTAATCCGGGGGAAAGAAGACATCGAATTCGAAGCACCCGTTGGCATATGGCGTGTCCGCCGGTCCAGTGATGAGTACCTATAAAAAAAAGTGTAAATAAATATTTGACTCCAGAAAATTAAACTGCTAACATACCTTCATGATGTCCAATCTATCCGTATCACAGCGCACAAATACAGAACTACTAAAGCTGAGAGGTAAGCTGGTGGACAGTGTCACCGCCTCCTGAGCCAGCCTCTTTACCCGCGACGGATGGTAGCGATCGCCGGCGAGCCGCACCATCTTCTCGAAGTGGTGCGATACCACAAACCGGAAGCTGTTGTTGTCCGCCTCCACGATCATGTCAAACGTGTCGAACTGACGTTTCTTCATCAGCTCCAAATAGCGCTGCTCAATGGACTTGCTAAGTGGCTCCAGTTGCCCGGTGCCGTCCTCGTTGGTGTGCAGCATGTTGATCAGAGCATCTGCATCCGTGGTCTTCTGCACAAGGACACTCGTTTCATGAATGTCCGGAATGAGCAGAGCTAATCCCTCATCGTCGCCGTCATCGATGTTGAAGGTCAACTGATGTGTCTGGCCCTTTGATGTTCGACTTCTTATTAACTCTGAAAATAAAAGGGTAATCAAGTTAAAAAATTAATAGATAAAATATGTCGTATATATGCTCACTTTAGTCGCTTAGCGTAGGTGTCCACGCAGGTCTTCATGTTCGTTAATAGCTCCGCAATAGGTGGCGTGCTCTCCCCACTGCCACTGGCCGCCGGTTGGAGCAGCGAGACAAGCATCTTGGACAGCGACAGTGCGCGCAGAAGCTTCAGTATGGCACGGTACAGCGGAATGTGGCGAGTGATGTCCAGAACGGAATCGTTGCGCAGATAAGAGCTGAGGGCGGGGATCAGGCAAGACTGCTGCAAAAGTGTTTGGAAGATGGGCGGCAGCTCGCCCGTAACATCTCTGACATCATGATAGGCCAAGATGTCCTCCCCACACATGTCACTCGGTATGCAATCCCCCGGATTTATATAACTGGCCAAGACGAGCAGTAGCACCGTGACGTGCTCCTCTTCGCTCTTCTGCCGCAACAACGCCTGCTCGACATTCCAAGATTGAGTCGTGGATCCGGTACCGAAACCCGTTCCCTTTGCCCAGTACATGTGGCTTTTGTCGTCCGACGTTGCACTAGGCGTTGCCTCCTCTGGTCCATTTGCTTTGGCACCGCTGGTACTTCCGTTTCCACTTCCATTTGCACTACCACTACTCGTTGCAGTTGGTGATGGCTCCGTGATCGGTGCTCCAATCCTGCTGTTGTGCGACTGATGCGAGAAAATGCCCAGGCAATTAAGCACTAGGTGCATAGCGCCCACTTCAATAACTACGCGGCGAAGCAGCACGCCATCGTCGGTGGACAGCGGCACACTATCCAGAAGCTGTCGGAAGACCTCGAAGGGCAAAGTGGGCAACGAAGGCGCCAGCGACAAACTGTATATATCATCTGAAACCGGAACAATTTGTGAAATCAATGAATTAAAGGACGTCTCTAGTTACTTACTGCCTTCGCCGTCTCCCGTTACGCCCAGCACCAAACGGAGTAGGCACTGCGCTCGCATCTTGTCCCGCAGCAAGACATCAGAGTAGGCGGGCAGACGCAAGAACAATCCGAATGCGGCAAGCGAGTGCTGCGGCACCGAGCTGACCGTTGCCTGCTTTGCTGCCGGCTCGCAGATGGTGTCCTCCAGATCCTCGTAGATCTCGTCGTTCGGCTCAAGCTTCACCCAGTCAGAAAGCGGCGGACTTTTCTCCTTTTCGCTGACCACCAAGGTGGTCTTACGGCCCGAGTGCTCCGGATAAACGGTGGGCAAATAGTGGGCCAACAACGAAAGACCGCCGCTGCTGGAAAATCGCTGTAGGGGCGATGGCAGCGGCTCAGTGCAGGCGGCCTTTGTCTTCTTGGCCTCGCTTACTTCATCCGCCCGCTGTTGCGGTACGAGGTCGAACGATATGCACGGCGTGGACAGCGAATGTCCCGCATCCTGGAGCGAGGCCAGAACCTGTGAGATGGTGGCATCTCCGGCCAACAGGATATCCGAATACTCTGGTATGACCAATTGGTTACCATTGGCTGCATTCGCCGATTGCAACAAGAACTCTTCCACGTTGAAAATATCTGTAGGAGAATAAACATTCTGTTAAAATGGCATTTTATTAGAAAAGTTATTTAGTCCTCACTGGAAGCCAAGTTCATGGTGCTGGTCTGAGTCTCCTTGTCCTTGTTCATAGCCGCCTGGTTCTTGGCGTCTTTTATGCGCTTGTCCTTAGCTGCCACAGCTGCTCCCACGGTGAGGAACTCCATGCTCCCCGCCTCTACGTTGTTGAAGTTCAGGAAGCTGCTCTTTTCCAGCTTGATATCATTTGATTTGGCAGTCCCACTGGACACGCCGCTGCTGGAGGCCGAAGCCTCGCCAGCTCGTTGATCTGTTGGTTGTTGATAAACTAGGTTACTATACACTATGGGGTCAAAAACAAAAGCAAAAGAAACGAAATAAATTAATTACAGCAGCCAAAGTAATAAACAAATATGTGAAAAACAGAATAGAACCCCAGATGGGAAATAAAGTAGAGATTTCGCAAAAGAACTCACCACTGACGCAATTCTGCATAATCTCCTGGCAAGTGGTGCTGGTGGTCACCGTGAAGAGCATATGGTGGGCGCTGCTCCGCTTGGCCGGGTGGTTGTTGACGGCTGCCACGGGCAAACTAGTGCTTGCCCCGCTCGAGTTCCCGCCCAGGATTGCGGACAGGGTGTCTCTTCGCTGCAAAGGCTGCTGACTTCTCACCGAGACGGTGATGTGTTCATTCTCAAGAAGGAGCTGCAAGACCAACTGCCTGGTGAATCCAGATATAGTGGGTCGAACCCCATGTGAAGATCTCAGTGGCTTGCATATTATGGCACCGATGAGCAGCGATGTGAGCACTTCCTGGTTGCCAGGATGGCAGGCGCTCACCCTCGTGAAGAAGTTGATGGTGGCCCGCTCCAAGCGGATGAATGACTGCTGCATGGGCAGCGTCTTACTAAACTGGGCGGCATGGGTGTTGCAGAGCAGCTGCAACAGTGGTTTCCAGAAAACGGATCCCTGCATCGTGCCCAACCAATCTCGCATAGGACCCTCGGCACAGCACTCGGCAAAGAAGTCCAGCACCTTGGGCACATTTGAGCTGCTAAGCAGTGGAGTATTATTGCCCACATTTGCTTCGGCCTTGTCAAAGTCTGTTAGCGAGGAGTCCTCGTCATCTACTGGAACTGCAACCGGGTTGTTGCCTGAAGCTTCTTCTCCACCAGCCGCGGCTGGGGCTGCGGAAACTGCTAGCTCTGATCCAGGTAGCAAGTGCATGCAATACTCGTAAATGGCGTGGGCCAGAAGCTTGGGGAGTCCAGAGTCCAGCATTTGGTAAACTGCAGCTGGAGACTGGCAGGCCAAGGCCAGGGTCTTCAGGAATGTGGGACGCTGCAGCAGAACCGTTAGATTCTCACTACCCTCTCGCCTAAACCAGGCACTGCCGCTCTGCACCTTACTATCATCTGTCTGGCCTCGAGCTGGTGGCTCTAGTTTCACTCCCAACTTAACCAACAGTTGGTTAAACAACTCCGGCTTAATGTAGCACAAAGCACAGAGTAGGGAATCAAAGCTGCTCTTCAGAGGCTCATCATGTTCCAGCGACGACACCCACTCGAAGCAGGTCTCGAATAGCGATGATGAAATGAGCAGGGGCAACTCCGGGAGCTGCTGCTGTGTCTGGACTCGCCAGAGAATAGAGGCGATCACTTTAACAAATCCGCTTTGCGGATTATTGCAACGTGCCTGTTGGCTGTAGTTATCATGCAGCTGCATCACCCAGTCAATCAGGACGCGCAGTTTATCTAGTAAGTGCTCCGTGGAGCCGGTGACCACTTCGTGGATGAGATCGCACACCGCGTCGCTGGAGAGCTTGAAAACTATAAAGGTAAACAGTTTAGTAAAAGAGATTATTTTTTTCATTTTCCGCAGGGTTATCTGAAAAAGCAGAGTCTTTAATAACTCACCTTGGGGAGTGGTGTGCCATAGTAGCGTTCGCAGCAGCTGCAAACTGAGCTCGTGGTTGTAGGCACCCAATTTCAGCAAAATAGTTTCCAGGTGTTGCTGAGCAAGGCTTGGAATCATTGGCATGATGTTTAGCAGTGAGCAGCAGGCCTCCAAAAAGCCGGGATAGGCAGCCGGATAGGCGGCGATGAGATCTGCGAGTTTGCTGTCCGGTTGCAACGCAGCGACGTGGAAGCAGCGGGATAGGATCCGCACCCAGCCAATGCTCGTCTTGGCGAAGGCATCGTCCTCAAGCATGGCATCTGCGTCCATCGCGGCCAAAGCAGCCGTTTGCAGCGGTGAGGAGCACGATGCCAGTGAGTCGATAAACGGACTCGGCGAACGCAGCCCCTGCATACGATTCCCGAAGATAGTCTGGCCAAGCACAGCGATCTGTACCAGTCCGACATTACCACAGTCCTTGGGTCTGCAATTGAATTATTTATTAAATTAAATCAATTAGCACAATTTCTTCTGTAACTCACTTGTAAAGCCTCAGGACAATGCTGGTAGCCACCTCCGCCTTGGCTAACTTCAGCCTGATGCAGGTTAGCCCAGTGGTGGCCATGGGAGCACCCACCGGAATAGATCCCAGGCCATAATCTCTTGACAGCTCCAGCGCCACTGCCGAGGGGCAGGAGGCCAAACTCGTTGTGTGCGGTACAAGCTGCACCTCCTTTAGCAAAATCGCTGTGGGCAGCGTAATGGTGAGATCTACGTGGGTCTCATTTGGATAAAACATGTAGCTCCAGGCTGGGGATCGTGGTCTTCGATGTGTAGCATTAGGATTGGAGATGAGCACCTCAGCACTTTGGGCCGCATCATTTTCAGACACAATATGCGAGAAGGGGGCAAAGTTGATAAGCCCATCGTACTGAGCACCACTTCTTGGCGGCTGAGCAGCAGTGGTCCCAGTGGTTCCTGTTCCAGTCGTTGTCTTTTTGCACGCACTGTTTGCCGCCACATGACTGTTCAGCTTAAAGCGAGTATTGCGCGTCAAGTGCTGCATGATCAACGATATCTAGCACAATATAAGAAAGTGAGTATTTTCGGAAAGGAAAAATCTTTTAAATGCCTCCTTACCAATCCCGGCTGCATGTTGATAATCGTCTTGTTTAGTCGCACTAAGTTGTGACAGATAATTTGAATTCCACCCAGCTGGGTGAATGTCTGAACTGCCGCTGTGACTTCAAGGACCTTAGAGATGTACCACAGGAAGGGTTCTGAGAGCGGCAAACGCGGCAGCGTGGCATTCCTCTGTATGGTGGCTTTCGATTGAGGAGATCGTTAGATTTCAGTACCAACAAAATATACCTTATAGAATGCAAACTTACTTTCTTCGAGATATTGGCAAATAGGTGCCACAACCAGTCGCGGATTAGAGGCTTTATCACTGAGGGTTATCATCAAACTGAAGACAGCATCCGCGATTGTTTGTGGATCATCCAAGACCATATTGGACTTTAGTGAGAAGAAGCAGCCAGAGGACATCATAGTGAAAGTGTTTGTAGAGCACTGAGAGAGCGTTCCAAAGAGGCGTTTCATCGTTGGGAAATGTCGCAGCACTTAAACGATTATCAAAATTTATTTAAGAAACTAATTTAAATTAAACCACTATTTTTATTCATACCCCAATCAGCTATGCATGGTACTTTGCTGCGATGACCTTCCGTATTTAACTGCTCCGCTTTGGTCTCATCCGTCTGACTTTGATTCGACAGCTCCTCCTCCTCGGGAATGGTAACCTCCTACAGAAATTAGACACAAATGAGATACGAGTGATGACATTCTGCGGGGAGACATACACTTGGTTGCCTGGGCATTTCTGTCAGCACCATGTGAGAAGATAGTTTCAGCAGATTTATGATCAGCGAATTGTCGCAGATTGTGGCATTCTGCTTGGAGGGATTCTCCGATCCCAAAACATTGGCAAACAGATTACTAAAATTGTTCCCAGCGGTGTTGTTCTCATTTCCACGCTGACACTGCAGTTTCTCGCCATTGGAAATGTTGTTGTACACCAGAAAAGCTAATTAATATATTAGTTCGATTAAATAGTCTGAATAATAAGAGGAATTTTCACTACTTACAAACACTTTCCGTAATCTTAAGCGCTATATTTAGATCTCCCTTGTCGTTGGGCATCATCAGAAGATCGCGAACCAGTTGGTTTTGGGCATCAATGGGTCCCTGCTGGTTGCTAATAGCGCCACCAGGTTGAACCAACTGGAGGACAACGTGCAACAAAATGTCCTTCAGCCGACGCTTGCAGGGAATGCCACTCGTCTCGCTCTTGCTGTGCAGCCACAGCAGCAACTCATGTAGATGCTTGCAAATGGTTGGACCAGCCTAAAACATTAATATTAATAGCGTTTAAATTTAAATGTTAGACTGACAAATTAGCCAAATTACTTACACATCGGTTGGTAATGATGGAGGAGCTCATGCCATACCCGGAGAAGAATCTCAGCAGCATCTTCTCAAAGTTCTCATCATTCACAATGACTTCGTTGATACGCGTACAATCCGCATCCTCGCCAATAGGCAGCGAATTGCAAGCAAGGAACAGGCACTGGAAGCCCAGACACCAGGTGCGTAGCTTGATGTCATTATGCCAGGCTAAGGCCAGAAGCAATCCCTGCACAGCATTCGCCCCAAAAGGAATCTTGGGTACATCCGTGTGGGTTATGCCACTAGTGTATGGCTTGTCCGCGAGTTCGCAGTTCAGTGTGAGCCACATCTGCAGCACCTGCTCCAAGTGCACCCACGTATCCTCATAGTGCAGATCTGCCAGGATGGAGTCGAAGACTTTCTTAAACATCACATAGGTGTTGCGGCCATTGTATTCAGTACCCGACCAAAGTTGGGTCAAGTACTCTGGCCAAGGAGCTGCTTCTGGAGGCGGAGAGACGAACTCATTGGTTAGCACCTGCGGGAGCGAAGAGTAGAGATCCAGCGAGGTGCGATTCGTAAGCCTTCTTAGCTGTGTCTCAACATGTAATTCCAAGCCCACATCCAATCGTGAGTCCAAGGCAATGGAAATGGACTTGCAGAAGAAATTGAAGGTGTTCTTGCAGAGTGCGTTGCTCTCCTTTTTGGTCACTGGCTTTGTACGCTCGATCATGTCGATGTCGTTCAGCATTTCGTCGAATTCCGTGTCATCGCATTCAATCAATGATGGTAGGTAATTGTATTTGACGGCTGCAAAAGCAATGGGTATGTTGTATATTTGGTATTGTTTAAAGTTTACTATAGCAGGATATGGGTTAAAAAATCATATTTAAATAGGATCAAACTAAAAGCTTGGCTAAGGGAAAGTAGTTTTGTACCAGGAACCGTAAATGGTTAATATATTCACTAAGATATACTATTATTTTAAAGCTTTGTTAATTTTGTGATTTAAAAATTCACTGTTTCCCAAACGTTTGAAAGAAGAGAGCATTTACGGTCCCTTCTTACTCAATATGCGGTCATCGGGCAATCTATAATTTAACCTCGCATAGATACCATGCAAGGTTCTACGGTTAGGAAAAGTACTATGTTTACCCTCTTGATAAAATTCTCTTGCTGTCGGCATCAGCATCTCAAATTGTGCCTCAGTGCACGAGGAAGCAGTGGCTAAAAGAATGGAAAATTCATTGAAATTGTTTCACAATTTCTGGTTAAGAAGACACTATTGGTGGGCAAGGGATTAATTATCTACGGACAATCCGAAGAAATAATACCTGTGCAAATATTTTCACAGAATTTGTTGTGCACATTTTTTTTTGCATAAATATTTAAGCATTTCGCTTATTAAACAAACTTATAAATTCATATTAGATACTTACAAGTATAGTCGCTGAATAGATCTCGTGTTTCCTGCACTGTTGCTTCCATGGTACGAGGAGTATCATTGGTGGGAGTGACATCGCTATCCCTGAACTGTTTGTCCGCATCCAAAAGATCCTGCAAATCAAAACAATTTTAATTATAACCGAACTAAATCATCAGCGCAAACAAGAGAAATCAAAGTACAAAAAATAAGATTGATATAAACGACCGAGTTCCCGTTTTTGGTATATTAATAAATTGGTATTACTCACCTGAAGCAAACACGTAATTGCATGGACAGCCCAGGGCTGCTGCTGATCATTCCACACGGACAGACGTACAAGTTGCTCCAGCTGGGCGGTGGTCACAATCTTACAGAGTTGAACAGACGGTCGGCATGCGGCCACCAGACGTGCAATAACCTTGCAGGTGAGCAGAAACTGGTCCATGTTGCAGTCGAAATCCATTTCCAGCAGCAGGGCAAAGAGTCCGCGGATAACCACCTTGATGTTGGCCATACGCAGAGTCTTCAATCCCTTGTCAAAATTGCTGTCGCGTTCTCCATCGCTACCCGAGACATCCTGATGTTTTGGAGACGATGTGGAGGCTGTTGCACTCTTAGATGCACCGCTACTTGAACTACTGCCAGTCATACAGAGGCCAGCGGATCCAATATTTATCTTTCCACCGGTCGAGGTTGACTTGGTAGGACCACTTCCCTTTGACTTGGTCGACAGTTCCATGAATATACCAGGATGCTGAACGATAATTTTACATATGTATAAAAGTTTATTATGTGCATCTAGTGGTTCTAATAACTTACCTCGTTTTGTATCATATAAATCTTCTTTCCCCAATCCGTGTAAGGCTGCACCGAGTATTTGTTCTGCTGAATGATGCGTTTCTTAAAGCAGCGAAGCTGCTTGCTGTTGGGAGTGTTGCTGGGTCTAGTCTTTGTAAAGTCACTCTCACAACTCATAAAGTCCCAGCGAGCAGCTGCTGCAATAACATTAGTATGATTTAATAAATATGTTCAAGGATTTTAATTTAACTTTCTCAGATGCGTGTGGTTCACATACATTTATCCTTGCGCTCGTTGTCGTCAAGGCACACTGAGAGAAACAGAAGTAGCCAAGTGATCAGCTGAAGATCTGACGTTGTGCCCATAGCTGCATTACGATCAGCAGCATTCGCCGAAGTGCTGGGCTGCTCCGACTGGTATTTGTAGTGCGGTGAGATCGGTGCCAGCAGCTTGACGAGCGTCTTAAGCACGGCATCAATCACAATGGAACGGCAGGCGCCCATGGCAATACTGCGACGTCCCAGGTAAGTCAGCAGAAAGAATATGCTGTAAGTGTGAAAAAATATTAAAGGTTAATTAAATTTGAAAATCTATCCAGGTACGCAACACCTACCGATCTTGGGGGAAGGCCTTGCAGTTCTGTGCCGAGAACAGGCTGCAGAAGGTGTCAGCTAGGAAATCTCCCCACCACGGCTGGAAACAGCACATCCGCACCAGTAACGAGCAGGTGGCCAATTGAAGTTGGGCATCTCCGTAAACTACCAGCGAGTTAAAAAGAGCTTTCGCCGTAACGGCATTGAATTTCTGATGCACAGGCAGGATGTTCTTAATTCCATACTCAATGGAGAAGTGCAGAAGCACCTCCACCAAACTCAGGCTGAGCACTCGCAACTTGTCCCTAGATGCAGCGCGCAGGATTTCCTCAGTTAAAGGAATCGACTCTTCCGCAAGAGGCGCGTTACTCAATGCATTAGGAGACAGTGCTCGCTCCAAACGGAGCACCACATTCCGGATCACATTGATCTGGTACTGAAGAAGCATGCATTCATCGTAAAGGGACACAACCTTATTGTTGTTATCCAAGCCACTAAGCTCCTCGTCCCGCTGCTTGTTGATAAAGGCTTGAAGGTGGGCCACATTAGACAGCTCACTATTCCGCATGGGAGCCAGCAGATCCATTAGTTTGCAGCTGGCCAAGCTGTACCGGCAATGAACATCCTCGTACAGAGCGTTTAACGACTTCAGCTGCGATTGAAGGCTCTGTGTGGGCTGCTTAATGAACCTCATCAACTGATCTCCGTAGCCGTCGTGCTCCAGCACCACGGGATGGCCAAAGAACCGGCCCAGGGGCACTTTGCACTTGGTTGACGACATGCCAATTCGTCCAATGATGGTCAATTTCAGGTATCGACAAATCGGTGCAGGCTGAATGTCGCTCAGAACAAGCGTTTTGGTTTGGATATCGTTTACCTGCACCAGACGCGTGCAATCAGTCTCCTCATCAAAACACCAGATGTCGATGTTAAGGGAAGTCACCTCATCGCACGAGGGAATCACCAGATCCGTGAGCAGGATGTGCTGGCCAAAGTCGAGCACCACAAATCGCCTAGCACCCGAGTGCATCCGATCGATGACGATCATCTGTTTGGGCGGCGGAGTGATTAACTTGTGCCAGGCAATCGGCTGGCAGGGGTTAGCGTTTAGGCTCTCCTTGATCTTCTCACTCTCTGCGGCATCGTCCAGTACGCTGTCACCAGTTGATGGGGCCTGTTGCGATAGGTTCTGGTCTGGAGTAGTTTCCAGGCCTTCGATGGGGGCCCCCACTTCCAAATTAAAGGGAGGCGATGCATTACCGTCCCAGTTGATCAATTTGTCAAAGTCAGCGAAGGAGATGTCGTTAATATTCTTCTGTATGTAGCTTCCGAAAAGTGACAGCTTAGGCAGAAACTTGGACATTTTTAGTTTGTCCATGATGGCCGCTTTTTCTATTTTAACCTCCTCTTTCAAGGCGTGCTCTATTGAGTCAGCAAGCGAGGACCCTGCTAAAAAATTGATACAGAAATAAACATAAGATAGGACAGATGCATAATACATAATCTTAAGAAAGGAAACTAAAATTTAAAAGATTGGGTCTAATGATTACTGTAAAAACAACTTACATGTTTTATCCTTAAAGCCATTAACCAAGCCAAATGCATCGTAGTCCACCTTGCCCTGTTTCTCCTTCATTTCCTCCACCAGACACTCAACATCATTGACCAGATCGTTGAGCTATTAAAATAATATATCGAATCTGATACTTCTTTGTTGCTTAGTTTTTGACATACCATTTCCTCGCCTTTCTCCTTAGCCACCACTAGCTTTGGCATCATCATCACATCCTCAATTACCACACTGGCAGCGGAGTTTCCTGCAACACTATCGATGTTGTCGATGCGAGTAGCCTCGGATGTTTGAACGCAGTTGAAGTGGAGCTGCACCACTTCTAACAATCCACGCAGTTGGTTGCTGATGCTCTTTCCTCGGATCAGATATGGAAACGTGCGAAAGTCCACACCATCTGCAAAAAAGATCGGGCTATCACATCTGATTTAATTAGGATTGATTTAAACGAACCTATGGAGCTCAATCGCTTAATGTCCAGCCCAGTTACTGGCAAAATTGTGGAACTACTGCGTATAATATTAGTGAGGGCTACCGAAGAACCGGTCCCCTGTCTGCTAACGTTGGGAAAGTCAAAATCAAAGATCTCAGGCTCAAAGGGATAGCCGTAGAGGCCAAATCGCGTGCTTAACAGCGCACAGTGTGGATCCCAGCGCTTGTCAATCTCGACGGCAATCTCCTTTAATAGATTGATCGCCTGCTCGGAAATGCTATTGTGGGACTCCGCTGTAGAGGTAGCACAGGTTAGCATCATATACCAGCGGACAACGCTGCCGCACTGCGCTCGCGGAAGCTCCGGAAATGTGTTAGCAATCGCCGCCTTGAAGCTATAATCCAGCGTCGTGTGGTCCTGCACCTCCGCCGGCAAATTCGTTGCACCTCTGCAAGTTATAGTATGATAATTTAAAGTAAGTTATGTATATTTCTGAAAAAATGCATAATAAATACATATGTCTTCACTTACTCCGTCAACATGATTAGAAGCTTCACACATTTGTGGGCCGTACTCCGCTCACTGTAGATTACACAGTTGCGCAACAACGGCTCAATATGCTTCTCAGCCAGGGAAATGCACTCGAACTGCTGCGCAAGTAGATCTTGGAGATGCCCCGCCGTCTGCTTGTTTATCTGGTCCTTGAGCCGCTCTGACTTGGGTGACCGAAAGCGGTTTAGCCTGATAAAGCATATCCAATTGAGCACGTCGAGCGACAGGTTCTTGGCCAACGGACTTGAAGTCGGATCACTGGCGATACGCAGCAGCTGCACCAGCAGCACGTTGCTCTCTAGCATGGCAATGCGTTGCATCCGACCATTACTGATCCGACTGTGAGACTTCACCGCCCGCACACTGATTGAGATCTCGTGCAACCAGTCACATCCTGCGAAGAGAAATGAAAAGAAAAAGGACCAATCGTATTGGTATTCATGACCATAAGTGCGAGTTGCGGAGCCAGGAGGTACCTTCCCTACTCGGCAGTTGCCTAAGTCCCACAGAGGGAATAACGGCAGCGGGCGGGCTTTGGGGCTTCGATTTTGAGATCTTGGCTACGATCACCGGTTGATTGCCTTGTGACTTGGTTTTGTTTACATGAATAATATTAATGCAAGCTGTTTTCGCCGAGGGATATACTTTTAGGACCGCCGCCTTGACCGTCTGGAGTATATTGAGAACATTAAAGGGGTTCCTAACGAGCTTGTTTCGATCCACCAATTCCTCAACTTGATGCGAGCGCTTGTGCCGCGTTGGGGTTGCTGCAAAATGTAGCGATATGGGCGGTAAACAACTTCATGATGGTCGAGATGTATAGCCCACATTTCATCGGTTGCCACTATTAACAAACCACCTATTTCTAATTCGTCCTTTTGCTGTATATTTTATAATAGGCCCAGACCAGTGCTTTTATTAAAACTTTCAGAATGGAAGCAGAAAAATATTGAAACCAGTTATGGTAAAAATATAAACCCATTTTATATTATTTTTTAGTGGCAAAAGCGAAATTGAGTATGCAAATGCTTGAAAATAATTCCAAATTAGAATATTACAAATTATAAAATAAAGTAAAATAAAACCGTAAGCGATATTCGGTGTTTTGTCTGACTATTTACACAAATTGCACTGTCGTTAGCTTAACAGTTCCCCCATTCAATGGATTACGTACCCCTCGTCTTGTTCTGCCCGTCTTTTGATGGATCAGACACTGTCTTGATGTGCAGCAAAAAGTTCCTGGTGCGGGTCTTAAACAGTTTCGGTGAGGTGAGCGTGGCTGTGCCTCCTTGATCACAGAGGTCGATGCATGAGGAGAGCTCGATGGGACCGGCCAAGACCTCCGCATTGTGGGCTAGTAAATACTCCTCGCTTAGCACCGGATTTTCATTGGCAACTGAAAATAAAAATTCAAACTTAAAGATACAGCTTACGTTGTGTGTATTAAAACTTACTATATGAGAGATCAATGTTGTCATCAATGACATTCGGCTTATAACTGGAATGAGGTCCCTTCATTCGGTACCCAAAGCCGTTCGTGTTTTGTTTCAGAAGTGTGACCTGGATTGCTGCGGGATTTGAGCATTGCTGATATACTGTAAACTTTAGATCGATGTGGCCCAGAGACACGGGCTGAGCCAGGTTGAGCTCTATTATGTGTTCGTCCCAGGTTGTTCTGTGAGGGATTACTTTTGGTTAAAAAAATTGACCCGTCATTATAGCGTTAAGTACTCACGCATCGTTGTGCAGACGCCAGGTGCGGGTAAAATCCCGTTCGTCTCCGCCATGCCTCATGTTCTGCGACTGTTTGCGTTGCTTTTGCACCTGGCCGAGATCGTTCCAACAGCTGGGCACTTCGGCAGAGTAGACAGTAAGCTTGTCATCAAACTGGGTGAGGGCGTAGAAGACTTTTAGGTCTTCCAGTGTCAGGTCGGCAGTCTTGTATGCAAGCAGGTTGACATTGGTGGCAGCTGAGGAAGCCGTCGATGGCGAAGTCTGGACGTGGGCACCCTGTCCACCGGCGTTGGAGAAGATCGAAGGTGTCGCTGCCTCGCTGCCAACATCCACGCAAATAGAATCGCTGACGAGCAGGGTTTTGCTCAACTGATCCGCACTAGCTGCATGACGAGCGCCATCCGTCACACTCACATCCGGGGCCTGCGTTAAGGTCGTACTGCAGTCATCTTCCATTTCGAGTAATTCGTCGCCAGAGTCGTTTTCCCCCTCGCTAAGCGAGTAGAAGAGCAGGCCGCCTTGGCGTGAGCAGCAGCACAGCCTGTCTAGATTCCGGCAATAAACCACAGACTCAAAGTGCTCGCCTTCCTCCTCAATCACCATGGTGCCTTGAAAATCGGCGAGCGAATAAATCTCCACGCTGCCATCTGCACACACCACGCATATGGAGCCGGCATCCTTGTGCTCCGGAGAGGAATTGAAGTGCGGCAGGATGCACAGCTGCTTGGGACACTTGGCCCGACTGAAGGTCATGGCCAGGGTGTAATCGTTTGATATTTGAGTGTCATCGTAGTCAAACACCAAGAGCTGAGCTGCTACATTCCCTTCGGCATTGTTATCTAATAAAGTAGAGAAATAAATTTATTAGATATATGAATAATTTATATCATGACGGATAAGCATACCCGTGTCCATTGATTCATCAGCCCGTTGCTCCTCATCCTCTTCCTCCTCCTCCTTGGCAACGGTAGCCATTATAATCTTACTGCCTTCTGTCTCCGGCGCCTTTGTGCGAAGCAATTTAACCAACAGCTGGTTGCACTTGGGCGTAGTGGGCAGAATCTCGGCAATCTCGATGATCTCTTGGACCGAATGCGCCACACCATTCGCCCCACTGCTGGCACCATCCAAAGCATTCATGCGTTTCACACTTGTCCAGCTCTCCACCACGCAATCGATCTCCTCGGTAGCCGTCATTTTGTCGCTGCTGCTGTTAGTGCTTCCGTTGATCATGATGTTATTGTTGTTAGTCGAGGAATTTCCACCCAGGGAGTTTGCCTCGTTGTTGTTGTTATTGTTGTTGTTGTTCTGGTGAGTCATCTCCACATCCTCGACAAGCTTGTCGATCTCGTTGCCCATGCCCAGGTTACTAACATTTACCGTATTCGACCCGACCATCAAACTCAGTGGTTCCTCGAGATTGTGATCCAGGATCTGGGACAAGGTGCACAAGTCGAAATCATACAAAACGGAGGCATCGTCGGTGTTCTGGCTAACCCCGTTGTTCTTGTTGTAAGTCATCAGAGCGGACACAAATCCGTTACTATCAAAGCCATCGGCAAACTTCTCGTATGGTGTCATGGCCTTGTTATCATCATCCTTGGACTCGAGATTCACTTGGGTCACGGCCGCATTTGTTTCACCGGGAACTGTGTTGAGATGAATAATAATTATTAATTAATCTGTGATTGCATAATGTAAACAGGCACTCAATCTATTTTTTAAAGATTTATACGGTTATACAGTTGCTTACCATTGACCATAGGGGATGAAGACTTCATCAGCTGGCCGCCAACGCTGGATACGCTACCGCTGTCGTTGCTGACGCTCGCCGAAGTCTCGCTGCTGCGGTCTACTTCCACGATGTTGAGCACTACCATTCGCAGGGCTAACTCGCCACTGCTCTGGCGCACGCTGACCCCCAGCACGATCTTGGAGCCTACTACGCCGGCCCGAAGCGTGGACGTGGAGGTAATATGCTGGGCATTCACGCTGCCAAACTTTCCACTAGAGACGGCATTTGATCCCGAATGGGAACCCGCTCCATTGCTGCCACCTGCTCCGCCATAATTTGCCGAAGAGTACACGTAGTTTACCTTGGTGCGAGCTCGTGCATTCGGAAGAACACATATGGCAGTAACTCTCGCCCACTCGAAGCTCTCCTCGAAAACGTCCTTAAGCAGGGTCGGTACATGGATGCTGTGCATCAGCTTGAGGTGGCGTTCAATGCTCCAGACACTTAGCTCTCCCGTTTGAGAACAACTGGTGCAGAGCACGTTCGCGTAATCACTGTTGGAGATGATGTCGAATCCCAATCCGGGAGCTGACAATGCGGGATTGGTGGCGTAGGTAATGGACAGAGGGACATTCTGGGTGTACTCGCCCTTGACAAAGGGACACAGCGGAGAGTGCCTTTCGTGCTCGCTCCACGGCTCGTCGGTCTTCTCCCAGCAGACAAGACACACGTTGCAGGTGAAGCACATGGCGCGATCCTCTCCAGAGGAAGATGGCTGATGGTAGAAACCGGCCTGGGCCATCTGATCGGGCAGCGCCCACTTGTAGTCCATGTGGGGCCACTTCTCGAACGTCTGGCGACGCACTGCCTCCGAGTGCATAAGCACGCGCTGGAAATTACTAAAGTTCCAACCAAAGTCTGGGACTCGGGAGCCCATCAGCATGTCGGTAAGACGCTCATTAATGGCGGATGCGATGGCCAGCACGGGAATATGGCGCTCCAGACGCTTTAATAGGATGACCACATTGTTGGACACGAGCTTAAGGCTGGAATAGGGCACCTCTAAGCATATGGTATTCCACTGAAACGGAAAAAATGATCAGATTTAATTTAAAGCAAAAGTAAAAGAAAAAACTCACCCGCTGGGCCTTGATGCCCTTTTTGGCATTCAGCTGCGCCTGGTTGATCTTCTGCGTCAGCTCGTTGCTGATGTCACAGGGGCATTCCAGACCCTCGCTCTCCAGTTCGCTGATGCAGTTCTGGAAAATTATCGCCTCGGACAGTATAATCTCCAGCTTGATGTAGTCGTCGTTTTGTCCAATCGGCGCCTGAAGAATGGTGTCCAGCAGCAGGACGCCGTTGTAATCGCCTCGCAGTCCAAGGTTATGGCCATCCCAGAACAAGATCTTGTCTTGCAGTGGCATATAACGACCATGAACGATGCTGTCACCTGAGAGAGAAAAGCGGGACAAATCATTAGAAAGGGAATATGACTCATCCCTGTTGATTTCATCAGAAAACAATCAGGAACATTTTTGTATTTTAAAACATTTATTAGACTTCAAATCAAAACAAATTCCTTATCATTATATTAGATTTTATATGGTTAAAAATAATAAAAAAGAGCATAATAATTTACTGTAAAGATTAAGAACTAAGAGATTAATCTAGTTTTTATTGAAAGTAAAAGCCGGAAGTTAAGGTCAAATGTTAAGCTAATAATAAGTCAATTTTAAAATCAAAAGTGGTGGTTTTGTGTTATGACTGTGCATCAGTCCCAATCGATTAGGACACTATGTATTTCCGTGAAATTAAAGACCGGAACATTCCCGAAAATAGTTTTCATAGAACAAGTTCATTGGGCAGTGGAGGCGAAGGGGGTTATCAAACAGAACTGCGTAATAGAGGCAAAACAAAAACAAAATGCGTGCTGTTGGCTGCTAATCGACAACAATAACAAACCCATTGTGATACGACGGTCTGAAAGATTTCAGTTCCCGGGGGTAATCACTAGGATTGAATTGGATTATCACTTTCCGTTTAAGGATTTCCCAGAGCTTTGTTAAAAATTGATGCCAAACGCATACACAAAAAACTGCAAGCACACACAACCACACATACAAACATCCGAACGAGTGGACAAGTGCAAGGCAATTACATACTGAAATGCAATGCAGTGACCATTGGCTTTGACGAACTCAACTACTACAGGTTTATCATTTATCATTTGTTTAATTTAGATCAAGTCGCTTTTTATGTTTCAACTAATTTGAATTTAACTAATATATTTAAGGTGAAAAAACCCATTCCGAAAAATGGCCAATCCTTAAAATTATTTGTATATATTTGGAAGAGTTCAAAAGAGCAAAATCAATGTAATTTTGTACTAGTAAAATGATATGCACTAGTATAAATATTTTATTTGTAAGTGTTGGTATTTAATTAATATTGAAATATAGCGCCTAACACTTAACACACCAGATATGATTCAGCCTATTCTGATCTTCTATAAACATAAAATAATATTGGAATAATGCTGTGTTTTTCTCTGTGTGGGTTCTAATTCGCAGTTCTCCACTGTATTGACATTTGCATGCCCAAGTGTGCGTAAGTTCCCCCCATCCGTGTGTACATATGTGTGTGGTTATTTTTTCCCCAAAATCTCACCATTGGAGCTGAGCTGATAGGTCTGCAGGATCACTCCAGAATTGGCGTCCAGGACCTTGACGGTGCTGCCATTATTAAAAAGCAGAAGGACATTTAATTGCGGATGATAGACGACGTTGCGCATCTCAAAGGGTCGAGCTGGAGTGCTGTTACAATCGCCCAGATCCAAGTAGCCATCCTGCTTGAGGACGCGCTGCTGGTGATGCTGCTCCGTGGCCATTCCGGAGGAGATGCGCCACTGCGGTCCTGTTGTCCTGGTTCCGGATATTTGGGTTTTTCGCAATTCGGAAAATAATTCGCTGCGGAACAGAGCGCTCTGCTTCTTCTTTTTGCCCCTTCTTCTTCTTGTCTTCTGACAGATGTGTTTGCCATTCGATTGCCACCGTTCCCCTGTGAATGTCAGACTTATCGAGTGGCCCGTTGGGCGCGCGATTTGAGCGCGAGTTTGCGGGGGTGTGGCCACGACAAATCAGCAAAATAAATTCATTTATTAAAAAATAAAAGTTCGGAGTAGGAAATAATAATTTGGCCTACTGGTAGTGTGGCAACTCTACTCTGAGCAACCGATACTTATGTACAATCGAGTGTACCTATCGAGCCAATCGAATATCTAGACAATTTGCTTGTGTTATTTTTATTATAAAAATGAATATTTTACCCAAAAAACGGTACGTTAATATTATTTAAACAATAAATGCCAATTTAAATCCTTGTATTCCTTAGCTGGCATGTGCGTACCAAGGAAAACATTGCCCGTGTCCGTCGGGATCAAGCGGCTGCCGCAGCGGAGGAGAAAATCCGTCAGGACAAATTGGAATTCGCAGTGGGTATCTTTAAATGTATCTAAAAGTTCCTCTACTAAAACCTATATGTAGGAGAGCGAGGCACGCATTAACTTTCTGCGCCGTCAGTCGGGTCTGCCGGAGAAAGTATCCTCCGCCAAGGAAACCCAAGATGTGCCGGAGTCCAGTACTGAACCAACGAAAGGAGTTGATCTCTTTGCCGACTACAAGAGCCATGTAAAGACCACCAATAAAGACCTAGAAAAGGAGCAGAAGGAGGAGCAGGAGAAGTACGAGAAGCAGATTGGATACCTCACCTACTTGGGGCAAGACACCAACGAAGCGCTCAAAGTGCGCAGCTGGTACGAGGTGGCTCCCAAACGTCCAGAAGTGGGTGATCCCACTGTTACAGAGGCTCATCTCAAGCAAAAGCTAGCCCACGATCCTCTGACCCTCATCAATGCCCTGCTGCCGCCGGAAAAGAAGGATGCCAAAAGCGCCACCAAGAGAAAACGTGAAAGGACACCCACTCCTCCGTCAGAACCTTTACCATCCCAGAAGTCAAAAAAACACAAAAAGGACAAGAAGCATAGCAAACACAAGAAGCACAAGGGTCTCAAGAGCAAAAAGGAAGCCAAGGAAAGCCTGCTGACCGCCGAACGCCAAAAACGCGAAAAGCTGGAGAGACTGAGAAAGGAGCGTTTGCGACGGGAGACAGCGGAACGTCAGCGTTCCGAGGCTCTTTTCGCGCCCAAGGAGCCGGCGGTGGCCGACAGTGCAGCATCCACGCCAGCTCCCACGCCTAGGATAGTCCAGAAGTATAATAGCCAGTTTAATCCAGAGTTCGCCAAGCAAAACATGGTTTAGGGTCTTGGCTTTGAAGCTCAGATCCCTATGAATTTATAAGACTTTCTTAGCAATAGCTGATTGTAAAATAATAGCTGTTACTACTAAACGAATATTCTTAATATATTATAATAATAATAATAACAGTTGAAAATATGAAGATTAAAAATGAAATATGAGAAGGATATTTTAAATAAAATACCACAGGCAATCGATAAACCTATAATCGTAACGCATTTTTAAAGCATTGATAATTGTAAAATGTCCTTTAAATTTTAGGCATTCAGTAAGAAGCCATAAAACCAATTTAGTTAATTAAATCGGGCTATACGATGTGTGTAGATAAGATAATGAAAACTATATTTGTTATCAAGTCTTAATACACTTGATTTAAAATAATCTTGTGTTTTCTTATGCTTTACTTCAATTTAGCCATCAACGGTTATGGCTTTAAATTCAAATTAATCACTGTCCATTACAACATATCCCAAGGCGGAAATAATTGAGCACCAGCGGCTGTCATCATTTAAATTTAGATGTAGCGATAAATCCGGTTTAAAGATAACGGCCTCTCGATCACCAGCCGAAAATCAGTAGTGCTGCATAACATCAAAAGAGAGGAAACTATTGCCTGTTTTTACCATTAAAATAAATACTTATCAGTAAAATGTTTCTCAAATCAGATAAATTATGGACAGAATCATTGAATATTCTATTAACCAAACAAGATCCACCTAAAAGCTGTAATAGTTTAAATTTTAACGGCCGGCGCACAAATGCGCAACAGCCGCCTAAAGTGTTGGAGAACGCCGTAAAGCGGCACATGTAAATTGATTTCATTTTTGGCTCGGCGTCTTTAAGTCTTCGTTTCTTTTTCTTTGTAATTAGCCTGCGGGTTTAAACCTTTCTTGATTTATAGTTATTGTTGTGTGCCGAAAACAATAGAGCCGGGCCAAATGGATGATAATACGGAGAATAACGATGGAAAACGCGGTGAGTTGGTTTTGCCAAAAAAAAGCAACGGGATAAGCAAGTCGGTGCTCCAAAGTCAGCCATTTTTAAGAGCTCCCTTTCCCAAGTCGCCTGGTTTTTTAAGTTCCCCAACTAAAACAAAGTTAATAAATTCCTGAATTATTTATTTTTGCCTATTTCACCACAATGGTAGTCACGCGGGCACGCACTCGCCGCTTGTCCGTGCTGGAAACGGACAGTCGACCGAGTACTCCTCAATTGGATACGGCGGCAGAACGAGGTAAGTGGAGGTTCTATCCATGTCCTGGAATCCCCCCTTAAGACTTTGATTTCCCCCTTCAAAAGGAACCGCCTCGCCACGTGCCACACGCCGCACTCGCTTGAACTCGTCCACTTTGGATGTGAGGACTCCGACGCGCACCAGACGCGCCTCCTTGGCACGCGGCGAGACTCCCGAGCCGATCACGCCCTCTTCAGTGAAGAGGACCGCTCGCACGCCGGCCAAAAATACCAGATCCGTGCGACAACAGCTCACGCTCACGGAAGAGTCCGAGGAGATGGAAATTAAGCTGGAAAAGCCCAGTCCCACTTCTAGTCCGGTACTCAGTCAGGCCAACGCCAAGCTGGAGCGGAAGCCAAGTGCTAGTCCCGTGCCCAAGGAGCCCAGACGCACAGCCACGCCCACACTGAGTGACGAGAAGCGGGTGACGCGCTCCATGTCGCAAACCCCCCCAATTGCGACTCGATCGCCCAGCAATACTTCACGTGATCTAAACACATCCCTGGAAGACTTGGCAAAGGCCAAGGGAGAAAAGACCATAAACAAAAACACTCCAAAGGTGTCGGTCAGGCTGGAGAAAATGTCGATGGCCAAAGTCTCGGGAACAAAGGCAGAGGTATCCAAGCAATTGGTTTTACCGGACGAAGTCAAGGAAAAGGCACCTCCCCAGGAATCTGCTGGGAAAACAAATAAAGCTGAAACGCTTTCTTCTGAGGAATCTAAAATAACCGAACTTAATCAGGATTCCTTGAAAGATACTGCTAAACTTCCATTCTTAAAAACATTTAACACACTTGCACAAATCCAGGCTTCGAGCAAATCTTTAAAGATAGAAGAAAAACGGGAGATCCCACAATTTGAAAAGAAAAACGAAACTCCGCAGAAGGTGCCACCTGTTGAGGATCCTAAAATTGAAAAGAAAATCAAAACCCCACAGAAGGTTCTTCCTGTTGAGGCAGCTCCGAAAATTGAAACCCCGCAGAAGGTTCTTCCTGTTGAGGCAGCTCCGAAAATTGAAAATCCTCAGAAAATTCAACCAGTTGAGGCAGCTCCTAGTATTGAACAGAAAATCGAAACTCCGCAGAAGGTTCCTCTTGTTGAGGCTCAACTTGTTGAAGTGCAAGAAACTGCAGATAAAGACGAATCCATGGAGGAGCAAGAGTTTTTGGATGCAGAAGAATCGCATGTCGAGGCTGAAGTGCAGGTCGATGCACCAGTCCTGGAAGAAGAACAATATGAGATTATAGATTTAGACATGGATGAGCCCATATTTTCTCCGGAAGCCTTAAAAGCTGAAGAAAACATTACAGGCAGTGAAGGAACTCCGCAAAATAAAACAATGGAAGAAGAAGAAAATAAGTGCAAAGTCGAGATAACCGATGTTCTGAGTCTACCAAATCTAACTCCCGGTATAAAATCTCGTATTTTGGCTCCCCTTTCTCAGGAACAAAAGAAATCTGTAGGCTTTAACAACGCCTCTGATGATTTAGAAGCCGAAAAAACACGGTTTCCAAAAACTCCCGGCCGCGAAAAGGTGCCAGTTTGCCGAACATTCACCCCAAAGGCGGAGACTCCAGTAAAAATAGCCCTGCAAAAGGGGCGAAATAGTTCCACTCCCATATTGAAGGATCAACCGCTCGAGCTGTCCATCGGCAAGGTGGAATTGCAGCCAGCGCCTCCCCAAATTGATGCCATCAAGTCTTTCGATGAGGTGGAAACGAAAAATGCTAGGGATGATATAGTCCAGCCAGCCGACATTTCACCCCTTAAGCCTGAGAACAAAATACTTGCTCGCCTAGAAAGCTCAGACGAAGTGGATGAAAGAGAAGGCGAAGAGGAAAACGAAGAAGACGAACCCATGTCCGAGTTTGTGGACCTCGAAGCTGAAGTGGCTGGGGAAGATTACGAGTCTGGAGACTCGATGGACAGTTCGATGAGACGAGAGATGGAAGAAAACGAAATTCCGAATGATGGAGAGTCCGTTGGAAGTAAGGACACCGAGGAGTCAACACCAGAAGAATCTGAAGGCGATGACTCCTTTATAGTCTCAGACAACGAAATCGAAGAGGAGGAAGTGGGCCAACTCTGCTACTCCTCCGATGAGGACGATTCTCCTGAAAAAATCACAGAGAAGACCAGAAAAAAGCGTCGCCGCATTATGATGGCTAGTTCAAGTGAGGAAGAGGAGCCCGAAGTACAGGACAAGGAGTTAAACCAGAGCAAAGCGGAGAAGCCCAAAAACCAGAGCAACTGCTCCTCCAACGCCAGCAAACTGAGCGAGGCTGCCCAAATGATGAACGCCAGCGAAGAGAAGTCCTCGACCTCGGAAGCCGAGCTGGAGAGATCCCGCCAAGTCGTTCTCAATGAATTGAACAAGTCTGAAAGATTCAACAAGACAGAAACTCGTCTGGACTTGAGCGTCATGGAGGTCGATTCTTCGGATCACGACGAAGTGGTGGAGCCGCAAAAGGTTAGCGCCAAGGGCAACAGAAGTGTCTATGAGATCATGGATTCCGATGAAGTGGAGGAACTCGAGGAAGCTGATAAGAAAGAGGAATCCGATGCAGATGAGAAAGCTAAAAACGAAGACGCTTCACCTGTTACAAAATTCACATCGTTACAAACCCAAAAATCGTCAAAATCTGCCGATGAAGAGGCTTTGTTCGCCGAGTTGGCCTCTAGTGATCTGCGCCACTTGGAACCAATGTTCAATCCGCTCCAAGAAGTCTCGTCGCCAGTCTTTGTATGTAGCAAGTCCCGAGTTGGCAGCCAAGGAGCCGAAACTGAGACGCCGCAGTGATCGTGGCAATGTTGGCAGTGACTTCTGCCCCTCGCAATCATTTGTCGAAATGGTTGCCGAAAAAAAAGGCAGAAGAATAAGCGCAAGCGCTTGTCAAAAAGCTTATCGGGCGCTCCCGATGATCTGGAGGATATGGAAATCCAGAACGAGTGCAAGCGCATAAAAAGTTCACGCGATGATTCCACCGTATCATTGGAGGAGGATCCCGAGACAGAGGCTGTCGCCCAAGAAGAGCCTTCCGAGGGTGAAATCTCGGATGCAGAAGTCCCCAATATAGACGGTAGTAAATCTTCACCCCCACAAACTATAGTGAAGGATTCTCAAGAAAAAACAGATACTGAGGAATTGCCCGAAACAGCAGTCGACTCTGTGGAACCTTCACCAGAGGATCAAAAACCGTCCCAAGCACAGCAGCCGCCCGAGGAATGTCCAAAGTCAGTTAAAACTACTAAACCCATCGAGAAGGCGCCGCCCAAAAATGAAAAGGATGTCGAGTATTACTTAGCATATTGTCACAACCTCCTCGAGGCAGCCAACGAGGCTAAGTTAAAGGAGAAGAAACAGGTGAGGCCCGAGGTCTTTAGAGTGTATGAGTATTACTTAACTAATGTTAAACTGGTATATATTTTTAGCACCTTGCCACGGGAACAAAGCAAAAAAAACCAAAGCGACAGGCTCAGCAAGCAGCTCCCAAAGCCTCAGCAACCACTAGCTCTGACATAGAAGCAGCGGGAACGAGAACCTCCAAGCAGCCACCGCCGCTCAAAAAGGATATCAAGCGCCTGCAGGCTACACGGCAGGCTGTGGGTCATGCTGTTAATCTGCTGGCGCCTCCAAAAGCCACAGATGGAGAGGTAAGTTTATCATGAAATTTTCTTGTCAAACTAGACATCATAATCCCTAAATTTTGCTATGTAGCCTCGTGCGCTCTCGCGTAAATTGTCGCCACAGCCGCCAGTGGCGGACAAAAAGGCCGCCAAGCAAAAGAAGCACCAGAAAAAGCAAAAGCCACAGGAAATATCGCCGGTAAAGAGTTCCGATGAGGAGAACCACGGCCACCAAGTGAATCGTATTCGGACGAATGCTGGCTATGTGACGGTGGTTACCGAGCCGCTTCAAAAAATACCCAAAATAGAGCTAATTAAGACCAGTTCGGGTATGATGCGCGTGGAGCCGTGCACTCCCAAGCAGAAGTACTTCCGCGAGCTGCCTGCCACACCAAAAATGCATGGATTCCGCGAGGAGCCAGGACCGTCCGGGATATCGAGGAAGCGATCAAAGCACCAGGCATCTAAGGTCGAAAACAATCCTGCCAAACAGTCGGCGCTGCGTTTCAAGGAGCAGATTTTTGCGCGAAAGTCTTAGGATAACTATGTTAAAAGACTAGTATTATCGGTTGGAAATGTCAAGTGCACACAATCCATACTTCAATTTTTGTTTCTTTAGTTTACCTCTTGCCAAATTGAATTTGAGTATTCTATTATTTGTTCTTTTAAATATTTGTTATGGAATTTCCCCCACACCTTGTCAATAATGAAACTTTTTCCACATCGCTTATTCACATTTACATCAGAAATAAATTTTTTTGTTGAATATTAAACAATTTGTTGTCGGACATGTTAAGGAAAAGTAAAAGTGCTGCCGCCTTTAACAAGGGTGCTGAAATATTTTTTGTAATTCCATATATTGATTCCGGGTATATTAAATGGTCATAATGAACACTGTCGTTGTCAATAAACCTCTTTTATCGGTTTTAAGGATCCAAATCCTTAAAAACAATTATCAGACTTATCAAAATTTCAATTTGTTTCATTCCAAACGTTTGAAAATGCATGAAATGGAAAATAATTTGTAATAACAATTTAAAATAAAAATAAGAATACACTTTTAAATTTTGTAGATGACACAAAAATAAGTTTGGACCAAATGCGTGTTTTGTTTTAATAAAACTTTAGCTAAGGTACAAAATAATTGCATTTGTGGGATAACCCAACACTAATGGATATAATCCCCAACACTACTAACTTTTTTTTTTGAATAGTAGGCTGGTGCTTCATAGACGTCAATTCCTCTTTTTTCTGACTTGCTTTAATCGCTTCGTAAAGATTTTTTAATTTGTCTGAATTAACGAAAAAAATGTCGATCAATCTATCTCAAAATCGCTTGTCTTTAAAAAAGACACCCCAGTTGGATTCGGAATCTAGTGCTAAACTTTGTAAGTTATTCTCCGCTTTTGAAGTCGCAAGGTTTATGAAGCTAAATTGAATTTCCCATTTTTACCAGGCCCTGTCAATTTGAACCTTAGTACTCCGATGCCAGGACCGCAGGGGATGCCAAGGAAGCTATCAATGCACCAGGCATCAAAGGTCGAAAGCAATCCCGCCAAGCAGTCGGCGCTGCGCTTCAAGGAGCAGATCTTTGGCCGAAAGAAACACTAGTATTAAGGGTTGGATATGTCCAGTGTACATAATGCTTACTCCAATTTTTGTTTCTTTCATTTACCTTTTGCCAAATTAAATTTAATTTTTGTATTTTTTGTTCTTTTAAATATTTGGTACGAAATTTGCCCACGCCTTGTCAATAATGAAACTTTTATTTAGTACACATTACTTATTTACATTTACATCAGAAATAAATTTGTTTGTTAAATCTTAAACAATTTGTTGTCGGACATATTAAGCAAAACTGAAAATACTGCAGTTTTTTTTTACACGGTGTTGATACATTTTATGTAATTATGTATAATTATTACTAATTATGTTAAAAAGTCATAATGAATACTTTCACTATCATTATTTCGTTATCAATAAACTTCTTTTATCGGTTTTGAGGTAAAAATCCTTAAAAACAATTATGTAGACTTATAGAGATTTCAATTTCAAATTTTTGGTAATGTGTGAAATGGAAAAAAATTTTAAAATAAAATAAAAATAAAAAAAGAATACATTCTTAAATTTTGTAGATGACACAAAAATAAGTTTGACACCAAAAGGGTGTTTGATTTTAATACAACTTTGTTTCAATTGGGTAAGGTAAGTACTTGCAAAGCGTTACCTAAGGGCTATACATTTACATTTGTTTGTATAACCCAACACTAATTGATATAATCCCCAACACTAATAATTCTTTTTTTTTTGGAATAGTAGGCTGGTGTTTCAAAGACGTCAAACTTGGTTTCCCCAATTCTTCACTTTTCTGACTTGTTTCAGCCGCTTCGCACAGCTTTCTTATTTCTCTGAATTAACGAAAAAAAAATGTCGGTCACTCGATCTCAAACTCGCTTGTCTTTAGAAAAGACACTTAAGTTGAATTCGGAATCTACGGCTGAACCTGGTAAGTTATGCATTGTTTTTTCAAGTCGCAAGGTTTTTGAAGATAAATTGGATTTCCCCCTTTTAGCAGGGAGTCCCAATTTGAGCCTTAGGACTCCGATGCGCCTTAGACGCGCCACCCTGACAACCGATGCATCCACTTCTGTGGTGAGGGGCAGGCCCACTTCGGCCAGATCCGTGGCCCAGAAGCTCACGCCCATAGACGAGATTGCCTTAAAGCAAGAGCCGAAGCCCATTGATACTACCAGGGGCTTTCCCAAGAGGCGGTCCACTTCGCTATCGTTCCCAGTTGTCGGTCTTTCGGGCACACCAGGTCCATTATTGCCACTTGATCAAAACGTTTCCGTGAAGAAAGATGCACAAGTGGAACCCGATAAGGAGTTACCATTGCAGCCATCTCCTTTAGACTCGACCGTAACAAAGAATACTGAACGCAATCCAGATACATTGAAGGAATGTCGAGTCAAGTTGGCGAAGACATATACAGAAGTTACTCACGGCAAAGGGGCTAACAAAAAGTTGGAGTTTGATGAAGAAAACAAGGAATCGCCTTCTTTCCAGGCTCAAAAATCCCCGAAAGAAGCAATTCTTCTCGATGGGCCAGCCTCTGCTGGCAGTAACTCGCAAAAGGCACTTGTGGAACCCGATAAGAAGTTACCTTTGCAGCCATCTCCTACAATATCTACGAAATCTGAACTTAGTCTGGAAACATTGAAAGAACCCGTGAGTAAATGTGGAAGTGGGAAAAGAAAGGCTAACAAAAATATAAAGTTTGATAAAGAAAACAAGAAATCTTCTAAGGGCATAAGAATGACATATGCAGAGGGCAGTAACTCAAAAGGCACTTGTGGCATGATAAGAAGGCTTTAGCACCTTTAAAATAGAATTAATTTTTTTGAAAAGATAAAGTTTGATAAAGAAAACAAGAAATCTTCTATCCAGACTCAAAAATCTGCGAATGAAGCAGATGTGCCAGCCACTGGTGGCAGTAACTCGCAAAAGGCACTTGTGGAACTCGATAAGAAGTTAGCTTTGCAGCCATCTCCTTTAAAATCAACGACATCTGAGAAATCTGAACTTAGTGCGGATACATTGAAAGAATCCGTGGGTAAGTCGTATACAGAGGGTACCCACGGCAAAGAGACTAACCAAAAGATAAAGTTTGATGAAGAAAACAAGGAATCTTCTCTCCAGACTCAAAAATCTGCAAATGAAGCTCTGTTTCTCGATGGGCCAGCCCCTGTTGACATTAACTCGACAAAAGGCACTAGTGCAACCGGATATGGAGGAAGAAGTCACCTTTAGAATCGGTGAAATCTAAGAGAACTTCGGATACACTCAAAGCTGAATTAGAAAACAAGGTATCTCCTTATTTACAGGCTCAAACTTCTGCGAAAGAAGTAAATTATCCAGTTGTTATTGTCGGTAGGTCGAAGTGGGGAGAGAACAACAAAAGAAAGCGTATTTCTAACTCTTCCGAGGATCCTGAAAAAATTGTTCAAGAGCCCAAGCGCTTTAAGACCTCACACATTGAGCACACAAAGAATACAAAACGGTCATCTGGTCGAAAGGCAAAATGGTGTATTCCTAAAATGGAAACTAATGCCGATTCTGGGATCTTACGTCCAAGGCCCCGTAACCAAATCATTAATTCAAATCAAAAATCGTTGGTGGCAGAGGACGAGCGACGGGGTAACAAACGAAAGCGTTCGCCGAGCCTAACGGATACTTCTAAGGGCAGGTTTAGGGATGCTGTGGAAATGGGATTGCGCCAGAGGTGCAAGCGCCGTAGGAGTTCCCACGGTAAGTCCCCAAAGTCATCGAAGGAGGGTCATGAGAAGGCTACCACCTCGAGGAAGGATCACGAGAAAGCTACCACCTCGAAGAAGAATCACGAGAAGGCTACCACCTCGAAGAAGGACGACAAGTCGGGTACCACCTCGAAGAAGGACCACAAGACGGGTACCACCTCGAAGAAGGATCACGAGAAGGCTACCACCTCGAAGAAGGATCACGAGAAGGCTACCACCTCGAAGAAGGACCACAAGACGAGTACCTACTCGAAGAAGGATCACGAGAAGGCTACCACCTCGAAGAAGGACGACAAGTCGGGTACCACCTCGAAGAAGGACCACAAGACGGGTACCACCTCGAAGAAGGATCACAAGACGGCTGCCACCTCGAAGAAGGCCATCAAAGCTCAGAAAAAGGCCATCAAAACTCAGAAGAAGGCCATCAAAGCCCAAAAGAAGGCCAAGACGCAAAAGCCAATGAAGACACGTGGCATTCGCACGAATGCAGGTTACGTCGCTGTGGCCAAGCCCACTATCGAGTTTATTAAGACTAGTTCCGGCACTATGCGAGTTGAGCCATTTGATCTCGAACAGCATTATTTCTGCAAATACTTTTTCAAATTTCTTGACTGATTTTTGTAGAGTTTTTGAGCACTATGAACTTGTAACAAACAAATATTCAGTCCTTATATTCAGTGCTCAAAAAAATTTGTAAAATTAGTAATTACATTTGATTCTGTAACTAAAAAGAAAACTTAAAAAATGTAACCCTTTCAAAGTAGATGGTGGACACGGGAATTTAGTTTTTTGAGGGTTTTAAAAGGCTAGTCCACACCCCTTCTCCTAGAAATCTAGATATAAGAAGGAAAATCTTCGCAATACCTAGTTGATTTTGGTTTTTCTAAATTCTAACGGGTTTAATTCAAATTATCTGCCAGCAACTACATTTTTCCAAGACCACAACCATGAATGGCTTTTGCGTTGCAATGTAATATTAGGGTATTTTCGAAACCTGAACTTGGCCACACTGATACGCCTCTCATTCTCTCCTACCGTCTCTTATGCTCTCATTTTTCTTTCGAATTTTGACCGCGGAGGGTTGCACATTACTGCTGCTCCTCGAAACCGAGACCGGTATTTTTAATTGTGCGCGCCTGATAACTGCGATAATTCGAGCGCCATGTGCGGTGGGTCCTTCTGCAGGAAATATAATTCGAAAAGTGCATAGATCTTTCATTCCTAAGAAAACAACGGTGTTTTTTGCTTTTGTTTCACACTGTTTCGCTTTCTGTGCGCGAATACCGTTTAACTCAACGGTTCCTGGAAGAAGCAGAGGGACGACCGAAAAAGCGCAAAGTGGAATCGATCAAAACAAAAAGTGCATGCTAAAAACAAAAAATATCACAATGTTCGAACTGGAGGATTATTCGAGCGGCATACACGAGGGTTTCTTCAGCAAATATGCGGTAAGGAAAAGAGAGCAAACAGCGTAATAACTTTTTGCAAACATTTTGCCGGCCGGCCACACAAACACGCATACACCCATACGCGTGTGCTCACACAGACGGGCGCAAGTTTATCGCCGGATTTTTGAATTTAACGTTCAGTCTCCACTCCCCAGACCCCCAACCGTTCCCATTCCCACCTGAAAAACCCACCACTACGATGAACAGTTTCGCGGCGAAACTTTGGTTCCACTCGCTATCTCGCTCGCCCCTGCAGCCATTTATTCCCCACCTCGCTCGCTCTAAAGCTTTGTTGTTGATTCTGCAATTCGCCCTCGCCGCGTTTAACGTGCAATTTTGAATTTCGAATTCGCCCCCATTTATTTACGCCAGTGTGTGCGTTTGTGTTTGCTTACATTTGATCGTTAAGCTTTGAATATTGCCTTTTCGCTTTTTGTTCAATGAACGGATGATTAATTACAACCGGAACAGACAGCGCCGATAATAAATAATGGACTAGTAGTTCTACGGAGATTGTGTACTTCCTCGTCTTGACTTTGTTGGAGGTTACTAACTTGGCTAGCTAAAGAATTCACCTCTGTTAACTGACTGTTGTACTAAATCCTAGTCAATCAGCAATGAACTTTAATTCCTTTTTGTTGTAGGAGACTTTCAGTATTGTTTTACTCCTATTATTATTAATATTCCTAAATAATTTTACTCAATTCAACCAGTATAAGTCTTTCTTTTGTTGTAGTCATGCGCAATTATGTGGCTTATTTATTTTTTGTCACACAGTGATGGCTAAAACAATAGCAAAGCTTAAACTTAATATTATGGATAGTTGGTTATAATTGCTGAAACCGAATATAAATGTATAAGTATATTGAGATAAAAATTGCATTCTACAAGCCTCAATTTGAAAGCCAATTGCTTATCTTTACTTACAGCGTTATATGTCCGGTTAGTCCGATGAATAAGGCTTGGTTAAAATATTGCTATAAGTACATTTGAACATGGAAAATTTCCTTTATATTATGTTTATTTTTTAAAAATAAATTTTAGTATTTATGACATCCAAGGAAATTTTTTTGCAACATTTTTTATTAATGGGCTAGAAGGATTTTTAAAAAATTGAATTTAAAAATTAATAGAAATATATTTGCAACCGCAGTGTGTAAATGTCAATTAAACGATTTCATTTTGTTTGCTGTAGAGTTTTGAATACTTTGCAACGGAAAATTAAAAAAATTGTATTTTGTTATTAGGAGAGGCTTAAAATAGGTGGCTAATGGGATCCTGGTGCTATTTTCTTGGCCGCAACTGTGACCCTGAGTACTTTAGTGTGTTTCTCCGCTGGTTCGCTGAGTTTTTTCGTCTGGGGGCCTCTTCTTCAGCTTTTGCGTTTTAAACTTTTTGAAGGCCAAGCGTTCACCTCGAACCTCTTGGTTTTTAACTGTTTTAGCCGCGGCAACAAAGTGGCAAATGATTTTGGGTCATTTTATGTGGTTAAAGTTTAAGTTTGAGCTAAAATTGACAACCCCACAGGAGAACTGACCTCCAGCAAAGTTAGCATATTTTGAGATGGAAACTCAAAACTACTGACTTGAAAAACATGTGCGCCTGTTAAATGCAACATGCAAAACTCCGCACACACAAATGCGCACAATCTACAAGTGTTGCGATTGCGAATTGCGAATGGGTGTGTGTTTGTGTGTGCGCGAAGGGGAACAAAGGAAAGCAAACCAAATACAACGTTTTATCTTGGGTGGGAACAAAACAAAATAAAAAGAAAACAAAAAAGCAACAGTCGACAGTTCTCACATCAAAAGCTTTTCTCACACCTTGTCCATCTCTTTCGCACTGTTCTCTTCCTTCTCTTAGGTTTCGGCAACCTTTGTTGCAGCAACATGGCAAAAAAAATAAAAAAGAAAGAAGTAAAACAAAAATCAAAGCAAAAAAGCAACAAAGAAGAAACTTCAAAGTTCAACGCGCTTTTCATTGGGGTTATTTTCAGTGGGTTTCGGGGGGTGGTAATGTACCTACCCCAAAGTGCAGAGGAAGTGAGAAAGAGAATGATATAGGGGCTGTGGGAGGAATGCCACTTGTCTGTTTTCGTTCTGCTGCCGAATATGAGCGCCCATCTGTATGCCGCATAGATTTTCTCACGGCCCTCACACACAGACAAACGTGCCCACTTTTTTTTGGTTCCCCAACCGCCTGCCCAACTCACACAGGAACTGAAAGAAGGTTTCAGTTTTTGGGGGAAAAATTCATATAAAGTGTGCCAAAATTGAGAAAGAGTTCATAAATATCTTATCAAACTACATTTATAACTTAAAATATTTTATAATTTTATTCTCAGAAATAAGCCAAACGAAGACCGCAAGGTCTATATAATATATTTTTGAATAAGAAATTTTTAATATTATATATGGACAACATTATCCACGGAATTGTCCAATATATTGTATACTCGAGACATATTTAAAATGCTTAAAAATAATAATTTAATATCCAGGGAATAAAACAAATTAAATTTTGTAGACAACAAAATTAAAATAAAGAACATTTAAGTTATAACAAAGAATTAAAAAAGAAGCAATGATATTTTTCATAATAAGTTGTCTTAACTAGTTGTTAAAAAAATTAATTTATTGAATCCGCGAGATACTTTCCCAAAACCAACTAATTAGCCCAAGAAACTAAACTGAACGAATGTCGTTCGGAGGCAAACTTTCCCAAAAAGAGAGATGACAAATGGATATTCAGGCTAAAAATAACTTTTTGCAAATGCTGATTTCTGATTTCCTAAAACACATGCACTTAATGAATGAAATAACCCAGGGAATCTGCCTTACTTCCCGCTAACCAAGAGATTTAAAAACGATTTACGACTTAGGGATATATATACCTTTTGGTAGGGATTTGGCCGGGCATTCAGGCAAGCGACTTATATTGCAGCACCATAAAGTAATTTATAAATGGGCGCTCATGACATCAGGGAAGATTGCATTCAAGAAAGGCCCAAGGATAAATTGAATGGCCTACCTGAGTGAGGGATTCCTCCTGTTCCTGCTTTATTTGCCAACTCCTCGCTATTTCGCTGTGTGTCAGCAGAGTTATTCCAATTCCTAGGTGAAAGGCGGAGAAAGATGCGAGTTGCAACAAAAGACAAGAGGCAGATGCAGGAAATACTAAAAACACGGAACAATTCCGAGTGACGAGTCCTGCCGAGAAAGGGACGAAAATACCTTCAGAGGCTTCTTGGTTCGTTGCACAACTTAAAAAGGCCAACAGGCAGCTGCAACTGAGCAGAAACAACTGAGCAGCAACAACTTTTCGGGGCATGGGGCAGGGGTTAAAAAGAGGCAGCAGCAGCAGGGGGCTGTGCTGTAGGCCTTGTCGAAGTTTTACTGACAACTTTTGCATTTTCCTTTAATCCCCTTGATGGCCAAAAAGAGCTTGCTGTGAACTTTGCTCGCCTGTTCAATGCATTTTTATTTCGGCTCATTTTTTCGACAATTTTTTAGGGGGGCAAAAAATAAGAAAAAATATGTTCGAAACAGGAAGGGTGGTGTAGAGAAAGGCAGGTTGAAAGTGACTTACTTTGGCTAGGCCTTTTACTGGCTTTCCTGAGCGCCGCATTCGAAAGCCGGTTGATTTATTAGGGCTCTTGGAATCAAGGATTTATTAACCCTTCACCCGCACACGTTTCTCGTTTTTCTACCCCATGAAAGAGGTGTGATAAATGGCAATTCCTTGCACCAGCGGCCCGAGCAGTAAACTAATTAGAGTCAGGAAGTTTCCTTTCCGTTGGCAAATGCAATCCAAAGCAGTTTATGATTCTAGAATTGCAACTTACAACAGGAAGAAGCATAGAAAACTACAGTCAAAGGTACAGTGGTATATCGATAATGTGACTTTTATACTTTCTTTTGAACAAATTTAAGCCCTTATATCGTGTAATTGTTATATTTAGGTCAATTCGCAAATCACAAAACTTAACCTAAAAAAAGATGTAACCGTTATTGAAATTACTTATCTTACAAAATAGTTTAAAAAAATAAAATTAAAATGTTTCCCATCTGTAATGTAATGTGAACCCTTTGGTTTTCTATTTTGTAATCCACTCAATCGATCACTTACTGTACCGCAAGCAACAGAACAGAACTAGAGACTTATCAACCCCCGAGTTGCAGCTGCCTGAGCCTGCTTCCTCTTCCCCTTGCCCATTCTCTTCCAATTTCGACTGGAAACTCGCAATTCAACAGAGGGCAGACCAAAAGGTTATCACACAGACACACACACACACACACACTCACTCTGGTGATGAGGAGGGGGAGGATGAAGGGGACCGAGCTGAGCAGGGAAAAAACGGACGGAAAAAGGGGCCTAGAGCGAAACCCTCAATCATTCCATCACTCCCATTATGGAGCGGTCTACGGGCCCGAGCAATATCATATCATCTGCGTTCTATTTCGGTTGTAATGCTCAATTAATGGCTGCGGGGGTGGAGGCGGATGGGGGTTAACTGCCGGCAAAGGGTTAAAGGGGTTGCCGAAATTGCCAAAAAGATCGCATAATTCAGCATGAAATCTGAACGAAATTGGTGATTCATATTTCGCGATTGGGGTAGATAAGAGCTAAGGGTTGTTGAGTCTTGTCTGAATTGCAAAAAATACAATAGTAATAAATATTCATTCTTATGTTGTCAGCATTACTAAAACTATTGGTTTTAATATTTATGAAATTGGTATTTCATGTTCCGATTGGTTTTATTTAAGGTTTTGCAATGGAGTTGAGAAAAATGGTAAAAGAGGGATAAACTGGTAAAAATTATTAAAGGGCTAAGAGATTTAATTGAATATTGTAAAGTCATGTAAATAAAAAATAATATTTTTATATACAAATTGGGTTAATTTATCAAGAAAGAAAAACTGAATGATAATTTTAGAGACTTAATATAGGAGAGACTTATGAAGGAAGCATTCAGTTGGCAGATTCCATAGCCTTTCACAATAGGGAAGAAATTAATGGACATTTCATATTAAGAACTTCTTATCCAAACATCTACCCTAGATCAACAAAGTCTGCGCTCACTCATAGCTGGGTACTTATAATACTCCTCTTTCAAATATCAATTAAACAAAATCATGGACACTTTGTTCCATTGACTCTTATCGCCAGTCAATACACATCGATTGAAAATTTGAGAAACTGCAGAGAAGTGCCAGCTGCTGAAGATTGCCAGCTGTCCCAGTCTTCTGTTTCCTTTCTTCTGGCTCCCTGACTCCCCGACTGACTTCTCTGTTCCGAGTTTCCCTTTTATCGGATGGGTTGCATGTTGCATGGTGGCTGGATTCGAATTTCGAGGAGCAACAATTACTGGCACTGGCTCAAACCAAACCGCTGGCCAAGACCTTTGGCCCTGGTCTCCTCGTCCGCTTATCGGGCAAACACCTGCCGTGAGGTAATTCGATTGAGTTTCGGCCAGGATGCACCAGATGCAGGGGCTGCAAGTGTGACTGGAATTGTGTAAAGCCATTGCAAGGTTGGGAAAGCAAACACTCGGGAGAAAAAATGATTACTTTAGGACAAAATCATGTTCTCTAATTTTAAAAATTTTTGAAGAATCAATCGTTAAAAAAATATTTAAGTTTAATAAGTGATAATTTGAGTTAAAAAGGCCAAAAAGCTTTTTTAAAACCAGACTTGTAATAATATAAGAATTTATTATTTATAATTTCTTATTTTTAAAAATGTCCAGAATAGTAAAGGTCTCCGAAATTCATATTAATCTTTATTTGACAATAATTTTTTCTGCAATACTTTTTTATTCTTGGTTTTAAAAATCAACATTTTCCCATGTGTATTTCAATCGCATATAGTGGGTTCAATGGGAACCTGGAAATGGGCGGAAGCACTTGAATGGCACTTGAGGTTTTAAACTGGCAAAACAAAGATCCCCAGCATCCTCCTCCCACCCCTTGGTATTCCTCACATCCCGATTATTCCGACAGACACATGGGACTGTGAATTGGGGGCGGGCTAAAGGGGTTGGGTGAAAAAAGGTGCTCAATTTTTGGGGAACCCCCATACTAGTGCCATCTCACTTTGATAGAGGACACTCAGAACATGCGCCTGCACCAATTTATGATATCCTGCTAAATTATGCAACTTATCATTCTCGTGTGGCGGGCTCTGTTTCTCTATCTTCCCGATATATGTAAATGTACATGACTACGTATGTATTTATATGCTCTTGTCTATCGATTTTTCAGCGCCGCCGCATAATAAAAACAGAAAAGTCGTCCTGTTTGGGGTCACCAATGGTCCCGTTCCTCTCTTTTTGGGGTCAGGTCAGTGTTTTGTGCTTCAAGGACACCTTGACATTGAACTCCCTCTTGCTCTTATTCCCATCTCGTTTTTTCTCTATCCATCTCTGTCACTCTTTATCTAACAGAAGCGCCACTTTTAACAGCTGCCCAAAAACTGTAAAGACCTCAAAATCATACTTTACTTTTCCAACAGAGCTGTGCAAAAAATTAAAATGCCCAAAGGCAAAAACAGCAAAAAGCAAGAGTACTTGCCATGTTTTTGCTGCCTTTGGTTTTGCTTCGTTTCTGTTGTCGCTGTTGCCCGCCTTGTTTTCTGTTCTCAGCAACTCGCCGCATGTTTTGTTGCCTACTGTACGCGCAACAGAGCTCGCAACTTCGCCTCTGTGGCAGCTCTGTTATGTGCGTTCTATGTTTTCACCCTCTCTTTCGCTCTCTCTCAACTTCGCCGCACACATAGAAAAAAAAAACAACAGCGAACAGCGCAAGCAAAGTTCCGTGTTTTTTGTTTTTGTACGGCTTTAATTCCTTTTTCCCTCGATGTCTGCAGTATATATATAAATATGTATGTATATTTGTATTTTTCCCCCTTTTGCTGTATTTTGTACTCTTTTCTGCAACATGCTGCCGCAACATTTGTATCCACTGGCGGATGTATCTGTGTATGTCTGATCTGAAGTTAAATCTAATATTTTGATATTGGGTGACCAAAAGTGAGTCACTTCATTTGAAGGGGGAGGAAACATTCGCCACTCCAGGCCCCATTTATAATGCAAATCGCGATCCCCTCAATTGTGTTGCATAAAACTTTCAGTTTTTCTGATATCCGGTTTTTGGTCACCGCCTTTGTTGTTGGAGTTGTTATTGTGTGGCCTTCTCGCGGCCTGGACATCGACTCCTTTTCCTCCCACTTTTGTTTATGTTTATGTTGTGTAAATACAGCGAGCGGCAAAATAATAGCTATAAAATTTGGCTTTAGATGAAAAGTACGCGATAAAAAGGGACTATAAAAAATATTGCAAACCTATGTCTTATAATTTTAGTAGTTATATACATACAGATCATATGTACAGAATTTTTATTTATTTGCTCTCAAGATCTAATATCTCTATCAAATTAAAAATATTCAAAATTTATTTTTATTTTAATGAGTGTTTAATTTTAAAACACTACTGTTGGGACCATAAATGTATTTAATTGCAATGTTTTGAATGTTTGTACACTCATACACCTACATAAATACATACACATATTTATGTATGCAGCACCGACTGCAGACTCTCGAAAAAAAAAATGTTTACATGTTGCCGACTTTGCTGATGATTTTTCTTGTTGTTGTACTGGTTCTGGTGTTGCAACATGAGTTATTTTCGTTGTTTTGTTGTTGGGCGTGCTGTTTGGAACTTACAGAATTTCCAAACCCCCACCTTTTCCCTATCCTGTCGCCTGTTTATGTTTTTTATTTATTTTTTTCAGCCTGCCTGCCTTGGCGCGTAAAAAACTGGTTTTCAACTCTGGTTTGCTCCTGTGGTCCCTCATTTATTATTGTTGTTTTCGTTGATGTTGCTGTTGTTGGTGGTTGTGCCTCATATAGAAAATGAAACCTTAAACGATCCCCAAAACGCATACATATCCACACTTTCATATGTATCTGCACGGGGATATCAGATTCGGACCCAGATTCGGGCGACTTGTGTTACAGATTTAATCATTATTACATATACATGTGTATGCCTATGTGTGTATGTTTATTATGCAAAGGAATTTTATCCCTACGAGTTGTTCTTAGGAAAATCAAAGCGCGGGAAAATTTTCAGTACATGTTTCTGGATTTGTTTATGTTTTGATTTGTGCTAAGCGTAGCAGAATTGACAATACAAATGTAGCTGTTTGGATGGCGATACAGTTAAAATGAAATATTATACCATGGAAAGTTTATTCCATTCTTGAATCGAATTTTTTGGATATATCCGTTTTCAAAAACTTTATTCCAAGTTTAATTTCATTATATATTGTAAAACTAAATTGAAAAAATACATTAGCTAAGTTAAAATGAAATATTATACCATGGAAAGTTTATTCCATTCTTGAATCGAATTTTTTTTTGGATATATCCGTTTTCAAAAACTTTATTCCAAGTTTAATTTCATTATATATTGTAAAACTAAATTGAAAAAATACATTAGCTAAGCTGCTATTAACGTTCTAAGGGGCTTCCTCTTATTTTCAATAGCAAATTTAAATTTTGTAATTTTCAGTTTCAAAAAGTTTTTAGCTCGCTATATTAACGTTGAGGTGCTTAAAATAAAAGAACTCCTTAAAAAAATTTAACGGATTCCCTCCACTGAAATCAGCACTTTTTTCTTTTTGTGTATTACAGCCAAAAAGATTTAAAAATAAACTTAATAAGCATTGTCAATGATATTATAATACCAGCATATTAATCAATGTCACAATTAATTTAGCTAGTATTTTTCTAAAACATCTTGCAATTTTGTGTATTTATTGCTTAATTGAAAACTCATATGTTTGTCTTGCTCGCACTAACGTATAATTAGGACTATAGTCCTTTATCTTAACAAGCCAAATTCATAAAAAATACACAACTGTCAGCTGCATTGAATTTATAACTAACATGTATGTCACTTCCGTTTTGCAGGATGCGGCTGGACCCTCGCTGGACTTTTACGTGTCCGACTCGATGCAGGAGATGCTGAACGTAGACATTCGCGCCGAGATCGCCAATGTGGTGGGCAGTTCCAGCAGCGACCTGACCTTATCCCTGGACCAAACGTTGGAGGCAATATCCGCCATCAATAACAACCAGGCCAGCGGAAACAGCAGCCTGCCAGTTTCGTACAATGCCAATGCGAATTTCCTGACCAGCAGCTCACTCCACGCCTCGCCCACCGCCAAATGGATGGGTTCGTCGTCCAGTTTTTGGTCCAACACAGATTACTATGCGGATTTGGGGGCCTGTGTGAATCCCATTTCCGTGATGCCGCTGATAAACTCGTCTTCCGGATCTGGATTTTCTTCGCCGAAGCGAAGCAAGACAGTCACATGCACTCAGGGAAGATCGGGAGCTGCACCCTCGTCTCCCAATGCCGAGAGGGATCAGCACAAGTCCCACCTGACCTTCTCGCCGGCCCAAATGAAGGTCAGTGCAGGCTCCATGCGGCGGGAGCAAGTGATGGCCCACATTCCCAAGCAGATATCCGTGGTCACGGGAACAGGAACAACAGTCCCTGCCACAATGGCCACAAATTCGGTGCTTCAGCGTCGGAATTCCTCGGCCGTGGATGCAGTGCGCAAGGATTTGGCCACAGAGCTGCGCAAAGCCCAATCCAGTCCAGTGCCCAATTCCGTGGAGGAGCTGGGAAAGGCTAAGGGATCCACACTGCTCACCGCGGGAGGTGGAGCCACCAATACCATTAAACTGGCACCAGGCATCGGCGGTCTGACCTTTGCCAATAGTGCCGCCTACCAGAAACTGAAGCAAACCACTTCGGTCAAGTCACCAACAGGAATCTCGCCAGGAGCGGGATCCAATATGGGCCTTAAGCGAGAGGACTCGAACAAACGAGGACTGCAGGTCAGCACCACACCAAAGAGCATTGCCTCGGCGGCCAACTCGCCGCATCATCAAATGCATAGCAACTATAGTCTGGGTTCGCCCTCATCCATGTCCTCCTCATCGGCCTCTTCTCCTCTGGGAAATGTGAGCAACCTGGTCAACATAGCGAATAACAACACCAATGGAGCTGGTGTCGGTTTGGTAAAGCCATTACAACAAAAGGTCAAGCTGCCGCCAGTGGGCAGTCCGTTTCCCAAGCCCGCCTACTCCTACTCTTGCCTCATTGCTTTGGCCCTCAAGAATTCGCGTGCTGGATCACTGCCGGTCTCGGAAATTTATAGCTTCCTTTGCCAGCATTTCCCGTACTTTGAGAATGCCCCCAGTGGCTGGAAGAACAGTGTGCGACACAATCTGTCGCTGAACAAGTGCTTCGAGAAGATCGAAAGGCCAGCCACGAATGGTAACCAAAGGAAGGGCTGCCGCTGGGCCATGAATCCCGAGCGGATCAACAAGATGGACGAGGAGGTGCAGAAGTGGTCTCGCAAGGATCCGGCTGCCATACGTGGCGCCATGGTTTATCCTCAGCACCTGGAGTCCCTGGAAAGGGGAGAGATGAAGCACGGATCAGCGGACTCGGATGTGGAGCTGGACTCTCAGTCGGAAATCGAGGAGTCCTCGGATCTGGAGGAGCATGAATTTGAAGACACCCTGGTGGATGCCATGCTGGTTGAGGAGGACGAAGAAGCTGAGGAGGATGGTGATGAAGACATGCTGAAGGAGTTTGAGGCCAATGAAGAGCGCCGTTCCCATGTCAACGGCAACCAGTCTAATAACCTGCCTATCAACCATGCACTGCTTGGCCAGAAAAGGAGCGATTTTGATATTGAGGTAAGATTGGCAAATTATCCCTTTTAAGTAGTGTATTCTAATAGCCCTTTATTCTTCAGGGCGACGAACTGTACGATGCCATCGACATTGAGGACGACAAGGAGGCGGTACGTCGAGCCATCGCCAACGGCCAGGCGCAGCACATCATTGAATTGAATCCCGCTGATTTGAATGCCAACGACGGATACCACCAGCAGCAGCCGCCATTGAAGAGGGCTCGCGTGGACATCAACTATGCGATTGGTCCGGCTGGAGAGCTGGAGCAGCAGTATGGCCAAAAGGTCAAGGTCCAGCAGGTCATACAGCCACAGCAGCATCTGCCCACATACAACAGGCGCAAGATGCCACTGGTCAACCGCATCATCTAGAGCGGGCACAGCCCCCAACCCATTACATTAATCAGTTAGTGCTAGGTCTTTGGTATTTAAGAAAACCCATGCTACGCTTACACATTATCCCTAAGTCCCCCCAACATTCAATATCGAATATCAGTTTTAAGTTTTTGGTTTCTTGTGTAGAACCCAAATTGTTATTCAATACCCCCTTTATTTGTAGTTCAGTTTGGCTGCCGTTTGATTTTAAATCTCGTTTCGAGCATGGGCCAACTGAAAAAGAGAGGAGAGCTTGTCCCCTCTGCCTTCGCTAAAATTGAATCTTTTCTTTAGTCGCTTCTCGAATAAATCTTTATTAATTATGTTTCACGAACATCCGAAATTTTGTTCCACTTGACGATACTTCGAGTCCGTTTCTCCTGACGCTTGAACAAATAACTCAATAGGTTCCACTGACGACGCATGAAGCATGTTAATTATTTTCCAGACTTGAGCCTTCGGGTGATTGAGCTGTAATTTTTGATTTGATCTCCTACTGACAAATGAAATTTTATCCTTCAGTTGATAAGGAACTTGACAATGCATTTCTGACAAATGACTCCACGGGTAGTCGTAGAATAAAAATAATGTGCAACACAACGATTATTTTGACAACGAAATGTAAACAGTAGGTTTATGTTTCCACCTTTTGTTGAGTATTACAAACATTTTCAGCTTAAATTTAAGAAAGTTGAAAAATCACACATACAAACAACTTGCCGGTCCAGTATTCGTATGCGAGGTAAAATGCGGATTTTTATAGAACTTTTGTATGTACTGTACTATATATATAAAAACTCAGCAAAACCGACAATTATTGTCGGAAAGTTCAGTCAATTAATAATATGGTTATTTTTTAAGGCGGTTCGGTATGTAAATAGTTTACACGCAGAGAAAAACTTGTATACTATGTGCTTAGCTGTAAGTAAGATGTATGTACATTTGTAAGCCAAACCCGAATTCCAAATGAAACAAGATCGATCCGAAAACCAATAAGACTTGAAAGAAGCGTACCCGATAAATGAACACATGATCAAAGCCTCAGAAGTAAAATAGTACAAAGAGCTAACTAAGTTACGGGCGAGTAAAACAAAGCATTTACAAAGCCAGCTCATGGATGGCTCATGGATATAAACCATTACGTTTTCTCAGCTGATGTTTCGACTCAGTTTTCGCATTCAACAATTCCATTAAACGAACCAACAACATTCATACAATTTTTGTTGTAATATTAGCACCTAAATAGCATTACAAAACTATAGTTTACCCCTAAGTTAATCTATGTAAATGATTAAACTAAGAAAGGACAATTTTTGTATAGAGTTGTTAGAAAATCAATTGACAAAACAAATTGAAACCAAAAAAAAATAAATAAAATAAAATACTAAAATTTGAATTCTATAGACTTTTTAATAATATTGTTTTCCAGTTCGAAATTACAACATTTTTAAAAGTAAAGAGCAGAAAAACGAAATGAAACTAATTTACGGTTTCTAATAAATATGATTCGCCCTGATTTCTTGTTTTATTTCAATAACAGATATGATAAATACAAATGCCTTTCCGGTTTAACAGCAAACCGAAGCCGATGATCTTGTCTACGGCGTACTCCGTCACCTCCTTGCCATTTGAATCCTTGCTGGAGCTCTTAGGACTGTCGATTTTCTTGCCCATTTTGCTTGTACCTTAAAAAACCACTTGTTATATAACGAGAAAGTCTGCGATTGCCATTGAGCTTGCTATGTAACGAAAATAAAAATCAACGACCATAAATATATATAGATAGATCGATAGATTGACATTTAGGATGATTTCCGGATCCACAAAACCTTATAAAATATTTTGTTCATCTAAATATTAAAAAGTTCAACTCAACGACTACCCAATTAATTGCTTTTAGGCAACAAAAAATTGACTTAATATTTCGTTGACAGTTTTTATTTCACATACATAAATAGTTTTGACATTTTTAAATTTCAGTTTTTGATTTACTTTTACTTTTCAACAACCAATAGAACTTAGATGCTAACTAAGCATTTTGCAATTTGAGCAGAACCAGCTTCCTGAAAAGGAATACTGGTTATTATAGTCGCTTTCTTGTGCCGGACAGAGCTTATAATTCAGATGTGTGCTTTAGGACTAGACAGTTGGGTATCGATGCACTTGGTGGTCCGCACATCATACCCTTCTCAGTTGGCTAATGCTAGATAGTTGACTTAAAAAATCTAACTTGCTTGCTGCTTGTACTCTTGCCCAAAATGGCATAAAATACTCTGATAGGCGCCTCTGTTAAAATACATGTTTCGTAATAAAATGATTCCTTGTAGTTAAAATATACATATACATTTATGTATCTTTAAATATATTTTATATATAGGTATGGTAAATTGTATTGTTTCAAAATTGAGTGTTGATCTTTGCACATTTAAGGCCTGTTGTTTACGTAGCTTAGGTTTGAGTTTTTAGTTTTGAGCTGGGTGTTCCATTTCAATTTGAGCAAGCTGTTCGATGTGAGCTGTGTTCCTTCGCTATAATCTATAAACCCCCGACTAATTCCTGTAAGTGCGCGTGTGGGTGTTAAGACTATGTGTGTGTGGTGCGCCGTGCGCTATGATATACAAGATCGTTTGTTGAAACCAGACAAAACTGATGCCACCTCCGAACCCATCGTTATAGTAGACAGTTGATTACAATTATTAATGCACATATACTTAAACTAAAACGTAACCTACGAATACAGATCAGGGCAAACAAGGCCAGACGCTTTTGCCGAACTGGCTTTCAACTTGCTTGCTTTCTGGACGGCTGTTCACTTCGATGCGGGGGCAGTCCAATACTCGAAAGATTCCAGTTAAAGCTCCCTTTGGGCGTTCATATTCTTCTTTGGACACACATTTTTTGGTTCTATCGATTCTTCTCTCATAAATCAAAGGTATTCAAAGAAAATGTAAAGGACATTTTACTTTCTTAAATTAAATAAATATTAGACATTTTTTTAAGGGCTTAACTACGTAGTTCTAAATTCAATGAATAACAAAATTGAACAGTATTAAAATAATAATCATGCTTTTTAACAAACTCATCAGTTCTGTGTCTGCCCAAGAGTGCTCTTACTGTATACGAGTCCGGAATCTGCCTAAAACTAACCTCTATAATTTTGACTGACTACACTGGATGTGTGCGAACTTAGGACTAAAAACTAGCACACGGATACGGTACGGTTACGGATATACAACACGGTTCGACTATTAAATGCAGAGCTGAATGACTGGTGACGACAGGGGCTGGGGGTGCACACTGATGGGGACAACGATTATTGGTTACATAAACACTACGAATACTCCGCTCAATGCCAGCCACTGGATACCGGATCAAGATCTCGGGGCCTCATTCCTGCTTCAGTCGCTTGGCCTCGTTGCCCACGTCCCCTCCACTACTGGCCGAACTGGGCGTCGTCTGCTGCTCCGTGTCGCTGGTGATGTAGGCGAACTGGCACTCGAACTCGAAGTCCATGTCCTTTTTCTAACAAAAAGTATATAGTATTGACTAATTTGTTTAGCAGCAATGGTTCATCTCTGAAAGCTTACCATCCTTTCACATATAACCGCAATGGCTGTTTTGTCTTGTGCCTCGGCTATCTTGTGTTCCACCAGATAGAACATGTACTCATCGAAGAGCAGGCGAATCAGGTGGAAGCTGCCGAAGCTGGAGGCGGAGCGCAATGTTAGGTCCCGGATGATCATCGAGCTGTAGAAGCTCCACTTAAGCAGGAACTGGCGAGCGGCTCTAGCATATGTTGGCTTTCCGTTATATTCCTCCATCGCCGACTCCACCACCAGTTGCAGCCAGTTGGCCCACTGCTCCAGGGAACTCTGCTGCTGCAACGCGGCCTTGAAGTCGTTCTCCAAACGCTGAACCACGGCGGGGGCACACTGACTCACCCAGGCGGCTTGCTCCTGCAATATAGATTGGGCCATTAGTTTAATTGAATGACTTTCGGTTATTAAGGAACATATTTAACCACTCAAAAGAATGGCATACTCTAAAAAAAACTGGATTTTAAATATATCTCTCAAATAGTCCTCATATGGTCAGTGTTATTAACAAAATATACTTTAAAAAAGTTTGTCCACATTTTTCAAACTTAATTATACTTCTTGTGTTGTATACAATTAAAAACAATTATTAACTAGCAACGAAAAAATTACAGCAAAACATATATATTTTTAATATATATTTTTTTGATTAGCTTTAATATAGGTTCATTAAACTCACCTGAACATTGTGGAAATCCACGCGATTTAGATCGCTGAGCATCTGGGAGATCTGAGCGCCATTCTGGAGCACGGCTCGAGCAGCTTGGGCCAGGTGATTCAGCGAGGTGTAGCGTCGCAGCGTTTGGCAAAAGGCCGAGACGGCACTGGTCTTGATCTGGGCAAGCTGCTCCGGCACGCCCAGCATGCTCTCGCACAGCCAGATCTCCAGGCTCTTGGCAAAGTTGCGGATGGCCTGGGTCAGGGCATTCGGTATGGAGCGTAGCACATCCGGTATAATGACATCAACGGTGTTTTGGTAGAATTGATAGTCAACCTGGTCAGGAAATCAGTTGAGCATATTAATATATAGCATGTTTAGAAAATAAATTTGGTTACAAAACGGATTATTAAAAAAATACAAAATAAGCGTGGAAAATATTTAGGATTTAATGTTGACAAATTTGTTTGGTTGAAACCGTTAAAAGATTTTACAATCTGGAACAGACCAAGCGAAGGAACTCGGGACCCGACTCCCGGCCATCATTGGCTAACTAACAATCCACTCCACCCACCTCTCGCACGAACTTCTGCACTTCTGCGCAGTGGCACAACAGATACAGCTTCGTCTTGCTCAAGTACTTTTCCTCCTCGCACTCGTCCAGGTTATTGTTGTCGCTGGCCCGCCAGAAGTCACGCAGCAGGAACTCCACGGTGTTGAACTCCAGGTTGAGCACGGCGTCCAGGAAGGACTCGCAGTGCTCGCGGTACAGAGCCCGGAATGTGTCCACGTCCTCCAATGTCAGTTCGCTGTTGAAACTGTGGTTCAGCTCGATGGCCGGAAACGATGGCAGAGCTGTGCTACCATCTCCAATAAACTGGGGAACGAAGGAGAAAGAAATCAATCAATAAATGGTTTAGGGTTTCAAGTGTCTATTTTAAAATTCATTTGAAAGTTAACTGAGTGGTTTAGGGTTTAAAGAAGCTCTTTTACTTAAGAACTTTTGTAGAACTTCCATAAAATTTGCAGTTGATTTCAATATAATCACTTTTTTGCAATACATTTTGGCATACAAAATAATAAGTATGTGTTTTTGACATAAAAATTAATAAAAGTAATACCGCTTTTAGTAAATACAGTTTTCAAATAGATTCTTTAACCATTCTGGGTGTCTTTAAACATTTTAAAGTTTTAATGCCTTTAAATGGGTAAATAAAGTTTTCATTCTAATTTTTTTGATACAAATATTAATATTAAATATAAGATTTAATAGTTTAAATTTCTTATATCATATTTCACTTTATGTAATTTCATTTATTCATATTTTATAAATGTAATATTTTTCTGAAAAATTCAAAGCTCTAGTTTAAGTCTTGTACACTTCCGCTAGATTAGCTGAGTAAATGTAGTTTTGCGATCCTTACCTGAATGCACGCCTCGTAGGTCTCCGGCTTAAAGGTGTGCTTCTTGGTGCCGCTGCTATGCCGCTGTCCCTGTCCGCCGCCCAGTCCATTCGAGCCCCCCATCTGTCCGGCGGTGCTGCTACTCACGCTGACCAGGACGCCGGTGCCTGGGCCGCCGGATCCGTCCGAGGATGCCCCATAGCCGCCGGCGAGCATCTGCTTGTCGTCCATCGCCTGGCTGTTCAGCAGCGAGCCGGGCTTGATGCGGATGCCATAGTAGTGGTACTTGGAGTTGCCGCGCGTGCCCAGGCGACGTGTGCGCAGTCCGGAGAACACGGAGCGTATCAGCTTGCCGAAGCTGGCCGCATTCACGGGCTCCAGCTTGTGCTCGCTGCAGTGCTGCATGTAATGGTTGTACAGCGTGCTCCTGGGCAGACTCACCCCGTCCGCCGTTTCGTAGTTGCGCGACAGCCACTTGATCTGTGGGAGAGCGAGAGAGATGTGCGTACATTGGGGGATGCTGTCCGGAGGGCGTAGCCATGGATGCACTCACCGTTGCCGAGGCAATCTTGTTGCTGCTGCCGAGCGCACTCTGGTCGGAATCCGGGAGGCGCCTCCGCCGCCCGTTCCCAGGCTGCCGCCGCTGGCCGAGTGGGTCGTGGTCGTCGAGGTGGGCGTCTGGGGCGTGCTCTGCGCCTCCTGGATGTACGCGACCTCCTGCACCCAGTGGCGATTAGTTCCGTTCACCCGGTCCGCATCCCGCTCCCAATCCCTGCTACTCACCGTCAGGCTGTGCGGCGAATCGCGTCCGTGCGACTGCGACTGTGACTGCGACAGCGAGTGTGCGGAGCCGTTGAGGAGGAGGCCCTCCTCCACGGGCACCAGGTACGGCAGCGTGGTGGAGTGGGCCCCGTTCGAGGAACCGCCGCCCGACGAGGTGGCTCCGTACTGACCCGTGGTCGAGTAGTACGCCGTCTGGCCATTGCCCTGGTAGTCCGCCACCGGGCAGAACGGGTAGGTCCTGAAATTGGCAAGGCAAAAGGGGATAAGGTAAGGTCGAATCTATTTATCCTGATCCCCTGTCCACTCACATTTGCGTCTGGCTGGAGTTACTGTGGTACAGCTCCGAGTCCACATATTGCACTTGGTAGTTCTGCTCCTGGCCCGAAACTGGAAGGCAAACGAAACAATTACGTTGAGTTTAAGTTGGAAAAGTATTTTTGATAAAAATAATACTCTTGGTAATAAATTAACTTCAAAGAAACGTTTTGGACAATTTACATTTCTAGGCACAATAAATCAACAAATAATTTTGAGATATTATTACATGGTTTATTATTAACATTTCAAATGGATAAATGGTTAAGGTAAGCCGACGGTAATTGTATCCTGTGGTTTTTCTTTTTGGCTTTAACGTTAATAACGTTAATACAAAAATGCTATATTTTTTTTTAATTTAAAACTTATTAAATGAAAATATCAAATTATTTGTATAAAACAAGAACATTTTAGCCTCAAAAACTTATATTTTCCAGTAGCAAATAATGTTTAAAAACATATTTAGTCTATCTCCGCAAATTGTTAGCATATTTATAGTAAGCCATTTTATAAACTAAATGAGTGACTGGTTGGAGAGGAGGAAAACAGTGTGATCAGGAAGAACGTCCTTTCATTTGATAGAGTTTACCCAACATGAAACCACAAACTTTGAACCCAAAGTAGAATGTCTTTGTAATTACTCTTGATTTAATCAACAGTCTCAAGTCGTCCGTTTGTCTATTCACTTCATTCAGTTGGCACCATTGGGAAATACTCTTGACACTTGACTCTGCTGGCCACACACAAACACACCTAAACACAAGCATGTATCCTGACAAACAGGTGCTTCAGATACAGTATTCAAAGTTCAAAGTTTGAATAGAAATCGATTTGATTGATGGAGAAGAGGCTCAAGATATTTACCACCGCAGTAGGACAAATTGTTGTGGCGTCGATGGTGGTGGTGGTACATGGTGGTGCTGCTGGCCGATCCACCCGAAATGTTGGTTCCGGCGGCGCAAGAGGAGTTTCCCGATGAGGAGGATGCAGTGGCGCCACTACCTGTTCCACTTCCCGATCCCGATCTCGATCCCAATCCAATATTAGAGCAGTTGGTGTAGCTAGTTGCACTGGCGCTGGCCACGAATGTCTGATGATGGTGGTGATGGTGATGGTGGTGCAGCTGCAACTGAACTTGGGCGGGCGGTGGTGCAGGCGCGGGATTGTTGCTCACGGATTGCTTGCAGCGGCACTTCTCCAGGAGATTCGAGTAGGCCACGGCAGCAGCGGTGCTGGGACTGATCACTGGCGGCGTTGGCGGCGACTCCAAGGGGAGCAGGTGGTTGTGGTGGTGGTGCTGCTGCTGATGCTGTTGATGGTGGTGCTGGAGCTGCTGCGATTGATGGTGATGGCGCGTCTGGCAGTCAAAGCCGTACCGCGAATGCATTCGTTTGGCCGGAAGTGGAGCGTAGGCTGCTGAAATTGGTGGACCCTAAGCCGCGCGGTGGTCTCAGCGGTTTTTCAAATGATTCCGAAACAAAATTGTGCCACCTCTTCAAACTGGAGATGTTTTACATAGATATCACTTGATTCCGAAAGCCAACACATTTCTAAATGTTGTCTCTCAATAACTATCACTGCATTTTTTTAAATTTTTTGTTCAAGAATCCAGGATATAAAAATGTTAAGATTACAATCCAATATTTTTAGATCCAATGATGATTTCGTATGTTTCAACATAACATTTTCATAAGGTTTTCAAAAATGTCAATTACATTTTTTTGTAATCCAATGATGTTGATTTATCAGAATCCAAGAGTCAGATTCCAAGAATCGGATCTTAGAGATCGTCAACCAATCATAAGAATTAGAAAACCAGAGGCAAGGATCCAATCAACAATTTTTAAGAAATAATTAATCCAAAGCTGAGTTTCTTTGAATGATAAAACACAGTTCCAGTGTTAAAGGTCCAAATATAAGACTCAAAAAATGATGCTCAATGTAAGCATACAAAGTAGCGACTGTGAATCCACTAGTGATGTAAGCGGAGAAGAAACCCGGTTGCTTCTGGCAACTGGCCAGTTCAGAAAGCGAAAGTGAAATCCTTGACCAAGCAACGCTCCATTCAGATTTCTCCTTTCACTGTGGGTGGTATTTGTGTGTTGAGTGTGTTTTGGGTATTGGGTTTTGGGTTGCGATGGCCGGAATCGAAGGCCGGATGCTGGATGGCGGATGGCGTGGAAACGGAGCAACCAGTGCCTGCGAACGGTAGAATTACAACTGAATCCAAAATCAAATGTTATCCTAGCAATATGCCTCCGAAAATAATGATGATGGCGAACTCACGACGACGGCGGCGCAGCAACGAATTAAATTACAACAACGGCGGCGGCTGCTGCCTCGGCGGTTGGGTGGTTGCCTGGTGGGTGGTTGCTATTATGATCCGTATGCCCGTAGCGGGTAATCCAACCCAGACCCTTGAACAGGTTTTTTTTTTTCCTCCCCACGCTCGTCCTGGTTTCAAGCGGTGTGCTGGCTAATTCCGGGCTCAAAGTCGCATTTTCTGGGATCTGCACAAGTGGTGGTCGAGATGTGTGGGGGGGGAGTGGACTCGGGGGAGTCCTGCGATGCTGGATACGCGAGCGGGATGGCAACAGGACGACGGCGTCAAGGCAACGCCGCCTGGCCAATCCCTCTCCTCACTGGTTGCCAGGCAGCCTCTCTGTCTCTCTCCCGCCCATCGCCCGCTCTCGCTCGCACGCACTCTCGCTCTGCAACCCCTGGATCAGGATGCTGAAGGATGTATCCTGGCCAACCAAATCGCTTGCTGCCATCCCTTCGGCACTGGAATGGAGATGTGGGAGTTTCCATGGCCGAACCAAAGGAAAAGAAAAAATGGTGTGGGTGGTTTTCGGATCGCATACGGGTGGTTCTCGAGAGGTTGGGGAAGAGGATGGAGAAAGCAGAGAAAGCAGCCGGAATGGCATGCCATGCATGGAATTTTTCCATATTCTCCTCGTGGTCAGGCCAGTACTTCTTTTCATTTGGTTTGTGCCGTACTCTCCTGGTCACCGCTTTGCATGACATATTTCAGATATTAATTTTGCTTCCTTTGCCGAGGAGGTCCTTGTGTGGGTGTGTGCGGACCCTGAAGTTGCTGCGGTCATCCCTGCGGGCTGTAACCCCCTGAACCCAGAATTTTCCCTTTGACACGCCGCTGCAAACTGTAAATATTAACAGGTGCCCCTTGGGGCTATCTCTGCAATTTGTGGTTCCACCGGATGTTGTGATGAGTGGATATGCGGCACTGGTGGCACTGGCAAATGTCCTTTAATGTTGCCATGGCTTAGGACGATTCCACTGTCATGGACGGGATCTTTTGCGGTCCTGTCTAGTGGACCGCATTCTCGCCAAAACATTTCGGCTCTCAATGACTTTGGTTGCAGTGCAAAATAAGTTTTGATTCGGTAATTGCCTTTGGAATGGTCCGAAATTGAACCTTTTACACAGTTTGAAGATGAATTTCAACCGCGAAAATAAGCAGAACTGGATCAAATTAAACAGAAAAAGAATAAAACAGGAAAACAAATTCAAAACAAAAATGGACAACTTTTTGTTGGAAATATTTTGTTTGAACCCATATCACACAAAACTAGTTAGCCATTTTTTAGTTATTATTAATTAAAAAATACTTGAAACAACAAATTTCATTAATGCCTAATTAAAAGAGCGTAATCAGTATTTAGATAAAAACAATTCTGCAAATATTAAAAGAACATACGTTTAAGAGTTCTTTCAAATAATTATAGTTATAGAAATGAAGATGAAAGAGTGATAACAAAATACTTTATCACAGTCAATAGACAATGGAATTGCGGAAAAAATTAAGATCAAACTCAAACCAATGATGAAGAGGTTAACAACGACGATAGAACAGACTCTTGAATGTGCTTTCTAATATTTTTTGTGATCAAAAGGTTAAGTGCAACAACCACTTTTGTGCGCCACTTGTGAAAATTCCCAGCTCCACTCCATATGGGCAACAAGCAGCAAGTTGAGCACAAATTGCCAGGATAACGATAACAGACAAGTGCAGGATAAAATGGAGAGGGTATGCAGCCGGCTTATCCTGCATCTACTACAACGTCAACAAACAATTAACCTTTTTATGAGCCGGACACTGGCAGGGGATGAGCCACAATGGGATTGGCCCGGGCTAAAGTTGGGTCAGAGGTGAGTCCTTTGTAGAGCTTCACTTGCCGAGATTTCCACAGCGAGATAGCATTCTCCGGGAATTATGAAATGCGACTCGCTTTGACGAATAAATTCTCACTTATCTTGATTGCCAGCGCGTACAAATAACTTTTTGTTGGCACAATTAAAAGAAGCCCGGCATGTGACGAGGTTCCCTAACTAAATCAAAACTCAGGAACTTGGCAACCACCACCCACACTCGTCCACCTAGCCATCCAATCACGGACCAACCACTTCAACTGGTATGGATTCCCGCCTTCTATTTTCCTATTTTTAGTTGCTGGCGTTATTAAATGTTAAGCTCGTCGTCTTCTGCCTCGTCGATTCGATGAGCACCCAGCAAATCCGTATCAATTGAAAAATACAATACAGCATATTTGAGAAAGGTGGAACATGAGGTGGGCATTCCCCTTAAACCCGCTGATAAGCACCCACTGTCGAAGCTCTGATACCCTTCCGCAAAACATATAAAAGAGATTCCGCTTCAATTCTGATTGGGAATCACTGCACCGTAAGAAAAATATTCACGAAGTTTATACAAAATGAGTGAAAATGCTTCCTTTAACATTTATTCGAACATTGACTTTACCTTTAACAATAGAAAAGACTAAAGTTAAGCTGCACAATTTTTTTAACGAATTAATATTTTTAAGTATGATTATCTTTTTATTTTTAAGTTTGTGACTCTTGTTTTATTTTACTTTATTTAAAATGGAAGTGAGAATCTTTAGTAAAATAGGTTTGTTTTGGTATTTTAACTATATCTTTAATTTTAAGAATAACAAAAAATCTATTATTATAAAAACATATACCTCAAAGTAGAAATTCTGGTTCGTGAAATTAAAATTTATTTCGTAAAGGTTTGACTGCATTTTAATGCGATACCTTATGAAGAAAATCGAATAATAAGTAGGATTTGTATACACACTGCTTTGTTTTTTTTGCAGTGATAAAGTTCGTGAGTCCTTTTTCGAGGACGAAAGTATTAGTTGACAGCGGGCGGTTATTAGCGAGTCGTCGACTCATCCACGTGAGCACTAAGCAGCACCCCCCACCCTCTATTCACCCCCCTCCCTGTGTGTGAAGCCCTCTCAATTTGTTGTGATTACCCGATGTTGCCATTCAGATGTTTGCCCTCCTGCGTGTCCTGGTGGTGGTAATTTGTGCTAATAAAATCAAGTACGATGGCAAACATGCGTCCGACCCTTCCCTTTTCGGTGTCCGATTTTGTTAGATAGTTCCGCGGCGAAGTGTAATCTCGATTAATTCATTGTTCGGCGCTCGAGTGGAATATAATAATTATGTGTGTGCCGGGGGTATCACTCCCAGTGTGTCGTCTCCTCATCTCCCGTCTCAATCCCAGCTGCACTTTGCCTCTTTGTTGCTTTTTGTTTTGCACGTGGCTCGGACGGAACCGTGTCGTGTGTCCGTGGACAGGTAGTATCTCTATCCTCCGCGGGGTGTGTGTGCCATCCGTCCATCTTTTCAACCACCCAACCATCTATCCATCTGCCTAACCACCCAACCATAGAGCCATCCATTCATCCTTGTACCGCCGCTCGTTTCGTTTCTCAAATTAAGTCGTTTTAATTGTGATATCAGGCAAACGTTTAAAATACGCCGGATTTTAAGCTGGTCCTTGTTTCCAGCTCACTCCCTCCCCCCTCCTTCCCCTCCCCCAAGGGACATGTTGATCCTGTCATTATGTTTGTTTACAAAGCCGCGACTTTTGCTGTTTGTTGTTTCCCGTTTGCTGGTTTCCGCTTTGATTTCCGCCCACTGCAAGTGCCGCCCATGAATTCAGGAGTTTCTGTTTCGGCTCAGGACCTCACGAAAGTGTGTTTTTCCGCTCTCGACTGAAATAAATCGGTAATGCGAATCGTAGGTTTTTTTACGGCTTTCAGTTTTTGCGCTCATTAAAAAAGTGGCGTCGCGATTAATTTTTACCCATCAGTTTTCGCACATGTTATTTGGTTTTTCAATAAGGGAATTTATGCAGCAGTATCAATCTGATGATTTAAGGAGATTGGAAATTCAGCAACCGATAAATTGATTTGAATCCTTTTTAAAGATTATGCGTTTCCGTTTTTTCTTGTAACAGAAAGTTTACGAAGTATATTACAAGTACTATGATTTTTAAGTTTAATTTTCTATATTATCATATATTTTTCAGGATAATAAATGTTATTCAAAAGTAAAATCTCTTATTGATTTCGGAGAAGCAACATTTGCATAAATCATATTTTAATTTTTGATTGTGAACTTCAAATATCAAATTTCTCAATAATATCACTATTTTAAATCGGAAAAGAGGATTTCTATTGTTATTCTAGACTCACCAGTCACAGTGATGAAGGGAGTTCCATCGTCATCCTCGGCTGCCTGCACCACGGTCACCTGACCACTGGCCACTTGCTGCGCCAGATCCACGCCATCCTTGATGGCGGCCAGGTCGGCCATGCTGTGGATGGGTATCGAGTGGGTCACGGTGGTGCCGTTGGGCTCCGTGGTGGTAATGGTGCCGATGGTGTCAATGGTGTCGATGGTGTCGTTGCTGCTGTTCACCACGTGTCCATGCAAGTGGGCATCGCCGCTGGAGTCGTCGGCATCCATGGGCAGAACGACGCGGATGACCTCCAGTTGCTCGGCTCCCGTTGTTCCCGCTCCCGTGGAATCGTCGTCTTCGTCGGTCAGTTTCTTCTGCAAAAGCTGGCAGTTCTGCAAAAAGGGGAGAAGTTTTACCTATTTATCAAGGAAGGATAATAAGGTAAGGTATTGTTTGTTTAAATAAATAATTTTTGATAAATCAATGGAGTTTCATAATAAAGGTTAAACAAACTGGGATGGTTTTTTTTAACTTAACAGAACTTACATTATGTTAACAAATAGTATTTAAATAAAAGATTAAACCTTTATTTAGAATATTAATGCTAATTTCAAGAACATCAAACCAAACTAAGTGTTTTCTTGTCTGAGAAAGGTATTCTGCTTATTAAGTCAAATCTAAAAAATTAAGTTCTATATTAAAGTCTACATAAACAATATATAAATGAACTGTAAAAATTGGAATTATGGCTTACTGTAGCTAAAGAAAATATAAAGATAGATATTTCTTATGGTAGGACTAGTTATTGATCTTTGAAGCCTTTCTTCCCCTCTAAACTTGAGATGCACTCACCTGTGTCATAACATCCTCCAGGGTTGCGGACACAACGACTCCATCCTCCGTGCAGAACTCAAACTCCTCGGCATGCGGTGGCGAGGTGGTGCTGTTGGTGGTGCTAGCGCCAATGGGACCGGTGGTGGCGCTACCCACCTCGACGGTCAACTGCTGCTCCTCCGCTGAATCCTCCGGTACAGAGGTGGCATCCACGATGGCGGAGCGCGTCGAGATGATGAACTGGCGCTGCGGTGCAAGGCGTGTGGTCATTGGTTTGTGGTGTTTGCTTTCCTGAGCGCAAAATGTAATTATGCCGGGCGATGATGGCTGCACCTTCGATGCTAAATTCGTTGACTAGTAAGCTCGTTTTTGCTCGATCCTCTTCTTACTTTGGACTCTTTTCCAAGAGTTAAGGCAATGGCGGTGTGTTTGGGTTTAGTTTTTTAGCTTATTTACGTTGCTCCTGGTAGATGCTGCAAGAGAAAAGTAAAATGTTCTATATTTAACAAAGCATGTCGTCAATCAAAAAGCAGGTATTCAATTGCGAATCAACATCATCATCATCATCATCCACCCAACCGCCCACTTCCACTCCCACCTATCACCATCCCCATCCCATTCTCCATTTCAAGGATCCTTTGTTGCTGTGGTGGTGGCTTGTGCTGCTTCCGCTGGGGCGTTGCTATGAAATTAAACTTTTCGCAGGTATTTCTTCATGCTTTGATTTCCTCATCGCTTTGTTCTCCACACAGCAGGAGCAGCAGCAGAAAAATATCTCTATATAAGGTAGGTATAAATATAAATGAGTGCATATATACGGATGTCTATTGTGTACAATATCGTATTTTTTCCGGGCAGCCATTTTGATTTCGTACCAATTGGCATCTTGGGGCAGCTCCTTTGTTTGTTGTATAGCATACGTATCGGGGCAATGTTTGGGGATTACATTTTCTTGGGGAACCACTGGGAACATTAGTGTAGTTGGTTAAAATTTAAGGGCTTAAAATAGTAATTTACAAATATTGGAAAACTTATAAGATAGACACAGTACATAATTGTCGTATGTATAGTTTAAACAAGAAAAATCATTTTTAATTTTGATCAATTAGCCATAAAGTTTACTTTAACCTTAAGTAAATATTTGGGCAGTCAAACTCAACTCATTTGAAAATCGTTCTGTTTAAACTTTCCACTGTTTAACCCCTACTATTTACTTAATTAATTAAATTATTGCCTCGGGGAAGTGTTTGCCACTAAATCGTTCACTGTACTTACATAATCCCACACCAGCGAATGCCATTTTTGGATTTTGGCCTAAGGCTCCGCCTCTGGCCAATTAAATTAGGTAAATTGTAATTGTTGAGAACAAAAATACATGCGTGAATCAATCAAAGGAAAACTCATTTCTTTGAATTTCATCTTTAGTGAATAATGAGCTTCTTTCAAGTAGATTTTGGCTCAGACTTTCAGTTTTAATACTTCGTTTTATATTATTAAACACATTTTATGGCATTAATTGTAATTTATATTTGATTTATTGCATTTTGAGTTATTAAATTTTTGGAATATGTTAATTATTGCTTGGAATAATTGTCTATTTTCTTGGTCTTTTCCTATAAAGTCACTTTTTATATTACTATTTAAGGCGAATAAATTTAAATAATTTTAAGGGTCTTTGAATTCTCTTAAGTCTCTGCTGTTGAAATTTCTAAATGTCCTTTAAGTTGATAAATTTTATTTTTTTCGTCTTGCTTTGCACTGATTTTCCTTTGAGAATTATTTAAAATTTAGTCAGTCTGATTTAGAGCTTCTAATTTTCACACTTTCAGCGCTTTTCCTGCCACTTTTGCACCTGCCACATGCACTTGTTCACAGGGCAACCGGCTCAAAGTAAATAAGGTCTGGAGAAGGCTTCGCTGGCGACGTCAACGTCCATCCCGAAAGTCAGACGGGAACCAAAGGGGAATCGACTTTTGGGGGAGTTTGAGTGAAATGGCAGGGGATCCCCGTTTATTTAAAAGCGCGGACAGGACAAACGACCCGGCATACGTCACTTGGTCTGGAGTCGCGTTCGAAGTTGTTGTTTATAAACAATAAACGAAGTCGGGAGTTCCTGGCTAGAGCCACTGGAGTGGGTGTGGGTGTGGATGGCTAATGCGTTGCCCCGGACGGAAGTGCACTCGGTTCTTCAGTACACAAATCAAGCGGCGCGCGAGTCGGGCTCATAAATTTGACGCGTGAAAAGTGCAGCTCGCTGCTGGCTTTCTGGGGGAAGTTTTCCCAGTCACGACACCCACACTGGCACCACTATTTACACCTGAGCAGCGGTACGTACACCTGCACTGTACAGTACACCCACACAACGCGAATAAATCACTAAGGACGCGCAACGCCAAATTATTGATCAAATAAGTATTTTTTCGGGATATTTTGCTCGTCTTCTGCTGCTCTCCTATAATTTCATTCTTTTCGCTCTCGTCGAATTTTCCATATAGGATTGGGATTTACCGTGTGTGTGTGTGTATAGTATATGTTGTGGCTGCTATAGTTATTGCTGCTGCGGTCTGTTTACTTCGAGCGTGAATATGCAACTACGGCGGGGAAATGCTTTTTACCCAACAGCAGCACTAACGGAAACACAAGCCTGAAAACTACGAACACTCTGGCAATGACAATGGCCAAAAGGGGTTGATAGTTTGGTAATAGGGAATTGGTCAAAATGCACTCGGGGCTGCTGTTGTTTTTAGTGTTGCTCCTGCACACAGCCTGCAGTCCCTTGCTGTTGGCAGAGCGGGATGGAAACTCATTTGAATGCCATTTGAGTTTGATGCGTAATAAAGATATGCTAACAAATACAGTCGAAACTGCCTAAAATACACTTTGTACTCGAATCAAATCGATTGCTTATAGATTCGAAACGTAACACAAATGCAGATACTGAGAAGAACTTCCAAACTTTATGATTGCAGGTCCCTTCTAAGGATAGTTAGCTTGTAAAAAATAAATAATAACTTTTTCTGAAAAATATAGAGTACAGTAAAAAATATTTCAAATTCAATTGAAAAGATCACGGAAGTTATTGAGCAATAATGACTTTTTTTAATAGCTTAGATATAAACGTTAATTTCAAGAGGTGAAACTGATGTTTGCTTAGACAAACCTGCTGTTTTATACATCTTAAAACTATAACCTCAATTTATGGAAAATGTTCTTAAATTTGTAGTTGCTAAAAATAAAATAAACTATACGTTTAATTTAAAAACAGTTCCATTTACCCAAGCCACGTTTATTTTATTCATTTTGTCCCAAAAACGGAATAAGACTGAAGTGTAGAAGATTGGCATTGGCTAAAACACTTAAATTGTTTTGATGATATTTTGTCTACTCCAGTTGAGGACTTTAAAATATGTATGAATAAGTAAATTTGTATTATTTAGTTAGACGTTATATACTGCAGCACATGGTAAGTTAAGGAGGTGGAGTGGGTGCTGCACTTTCGGCCAGTCCATGGCATTGACCCCTTTCTTAGTGTCCACCACCACCTACCCCTAAGCCACCTCCGCCGGCAGCTGCGTTGTTATAGGAACCACTTCCAAGTCCAGGAGCTCAAGGGATGGGAATGGGGTATAGAGTATAGGATATAGGATATAGGGTATACTGGAGCTCAGACAGCGTGACGCTTTCTTTCTTGCCTAATATTCATATTCACCTAATGGCTACAGCAGGTCTACGAAAGGACAGCGAAACATGTGTTTGGCCCAGGACACGAATTTAGCTGGTGCAGATGTGGAGTGCGTCTAACAGTTGGTTAATGTGGGCATGACATGTTTATTCAAATTTTATTGTCAGGTTGTACTCTACGAATTTTTCCGAAGGTAATTTACGATCTTTGACATACCACTAACGAAACTCATAATGTTCAATATTACAGAATGTTTTGTAAATAGATAAATAATAAATATTAGAAAAAATAAATAACACAAAAATAATATAAAATTTAATTTAATTTACATTTTAATTCAACCTAAAATGTTTATGAATATAAAAGATTGACTTAAATTATTTGGAATTCTTGTTGGTATATGTTGTGAGTGTTTCGTAAATAATCTTATTGTTTATTCAATCATTAAACCATAATATTTTTAATTAGTCTACTGTGACACAAATATAATCGTAGGATTGCACAGTGCCTAGTAGTAGGCGTACAACAAAAATGATTACCTGGTACAATAAATAAGTAAGGGTAATCGGAAAAAAATATTATTAACTTTAACCACTTTTGTAGTTTTCTTTTAGGGATATTACTTGTTACTTGTTATTTTAAAAACTGCTTAAAAAAGCTACACTAATTAAAATTATGCTATAATTGGCAACTCTAAACCCTACCATGTTATATTTTTTGTTGACATTTTTAGAACAATGGGCGTAAAATTAAAAAAATAAAAATGGCTTTGTCTATATTTTTTGTACCTTTGTCTACCTTTCAATTTCGGCTACAACTGATGAGCAAATTGACATTGACATTCATTAGAATGGACAATCCTCATCAAATGAAGATGATGAATGTAATGTGGCACTCGCTTGTTGGGCGTGCGGCATGCGTCCAGCCACGCCCCCTCGACCGCGTCCGTGTCCTCTTCCCGCCGTCCTTCTCCTTCCCACTCCATCACCTTCCGGGGAAGAAGACGGAGGCAGTGAAGCAGGACGTTGCGAGTTGCGAGGCAGCAAAGCGGAAGTGCACAGGAGGTTGGGTTTCGTGCCGTACACTCTCCTGAATTTTTGTAGTAAAATAGCTAATGAACTTTTTTTAATATATTTGTATTTCCTTAAGTAAAAAGTCAAAATTTGTTATAAAATAGTATATTGCAATACATTAAGTCATCACTTGTTCTAAACTAATAAGTTAGTGAACAGTTCTAAAACTTGTTTGTGATTGTATTACTTTATTGTATTAATTTTTTAGAAGAAAAATAATATTTTTGAAGCTCACTATTGACAATAAGCAAATAAGTATGTACTTAACTAGGTCTTGTTTAAATATTCATTGAGGCAACAGATTTTAAAAATGTTACATAAAAGTTTGAATTTAATGTTCGATGTCTATTTTTAAATATACAAAACAAACTTAATTATATTCTACTAGAACGATTTAAAAAAATAAACTTTTAAGTTCTTTAGAAAACTTTTTTAGTTGTAAGTACTTCTAATAATGTAATATTTGGAATACCAGCCCAAATGTTTTGTTGAAATTAGCAGAACGTGTTTTTTTTTGAGTGTACTGGAATTTGTGGAGTCCCGGTCTTACACCTGGCGCAAGGACTCGCAGTAATGTGCAACCGGCCATGGCACACTCCATATGGATGTGGCAATTGGGTGGAGATGTCCTTAGAGGGTGGGGGAGGGTTCGGGATCAAGGAGGGGGTGCAGGATCAAGGGGATGGAGAAGGGGTGGGCTGGTTGATTTCGGTTTTCTTTGGGCTCGGAATCGGAAGGACTCGACTTAATTGTCTTTAAATGGCTGAGCGCCTCAGTTCGGAAAACGCGCAAATGAAAAAGCGGAAAAACCGCTGACTGCCTGGCTGGTTGAGTAATTTTCTCATTTTCTCGTTCAATGAAAAGTCGCTGGCTGAAAATGAGAAAACTTCGCCGGCTTTTGATCTTTTTGATTTGCTGCAAAAGTTTTTTCTTTCGCATTTTTTTTCGTGGTAATTGGAAAGTATTCGGAGGGAGTGGGGGGTGATTTTATATATGCTAGAATCTAGAACTTACCATAGTGACTAGGGAGCTTGGCTCCTGGAACTCCTTTTCAATATTTTCGGTTTTTAAAAAACCTCTCCTGTGATTTTAATCCAATTGTTTTGTGGATTGATGGGGGTACTTTTGTTTAGAGGACTTTTTCTGGTAATCCTTGGGTTTTCCAACTGGATTACGACGTAGTAGTAACGGGACCGGAAGGAAATGGCTAGTGTTTTGGGCTTTCTTGTTGCTAGGCAACAGAACAAAACAACAAACACACGGAAAAACACGGTCTTCCTACATTTTTTTATTTTGTGTTGCAAAACCCTTAACTATTACAAAGCCACCTGCAAAAATATCACTTTTAGATTCTAATACCTGGGTTTCAGGTAAATATTGCACGTTTTATTTGGAAAAACAAAAAATAATAATTTGTTGCAGCCAGCAGCTGACAACAGTGTTGGCTAATGCTTAATGCCAGGTGGCAACGCTAACAGCTGTTCAAGAAGTGTTGGTTAATTTGTAAAATGTGCCCTGCCATTCACACCATAACGTAAAAAATGCCGCGACATTTGAATTTCATTTTTTTATATAAAGCCTTGGGACTAATTGTTTATGACTTGTGAAAAACGACTTTCGCGGAATGCGCCTGGTGTCGAGCATTTTTCCGCCTTTAACCAAACGTGACCAAATTACTGTGCGTTGCTCGCTAATTAATTTGTTGGGAATTGCAATTTTAGCACCTGCGATAATTAGCAAAGCAAGTTAAATAATGACAGGAATGAAGCAATAAATTGGCAAGCTCTTACGT